AGAGGGAGGTGGGTGGTCAGAGGGCCAGGACTGGACAGAGAGGGGAGTGGGTGGACAGAGAGCCAGGGCTGGACAGAGAGGGGAGTGGGTGGTCAGAGGGCCAGTGCTGGACAGAGAGGGGAGTGGGTGAGCCTGAGGGCTAGGGCTGGACAGAGAGGGGAGTGGGTGGTCAGAGGGCCAGGACTGGACAGAGAGGGGAGTGGGTGGTCAGAGGGCCAGTGCTGGACAGAGAGGGGAGTGGGTGGACAGAGAGCCAGGACTGGACAGAGAGGGGAGTGGGTGGTCAGAGGGCCAGGACTGGACAGAGAGGGGAGTGGGTGGTCAGAGGGCCAGGACTGGACAGAGAAGCCCTGAGCTGGACACAGTCCCAGGGGGAAACAGATTGAAAAGGAACGTAGCACCAGCCAGGTGGCTCCATTAGTCAGTGGCCGTGTCCGAAATATGTCTTGCAGACTACTTACTAAAACTACATACTGTGTACTAATCATACTATATAACATTTAGTAAAAATGTATGCAGTAAACAACAAACATCAACATACTGCTCAGCCGTACTGAGAATGCGTCATATGAGGCCCAGCTGTGTTGTTTCCCGCCATTCGTTCATTTTGATACTTGGCCTCATTATCAGCTGATTATCAGCTGTTGTCAGACACAGGTGGGTCTAAAAAGACAATTCTCTTCCTCAATGGAATGCAGCGAATTCTACTAGATGAAAAACCAAAATGAGTATGACATCCCAGCATTGATAGCATACTCAACTTTCAAAATGTCACATACCAAAAAAAATGTTTTTCCGCAATCTCAAAAAGCCTATTATTTAGAACGCAAGTGTGGGTATTCAGACACGGCAGTGTGTTAGTCCTCTGCCTGCCTGTCTCCTGGAAGAGCAACATACCACAACGTGGTAATGCAGCAATCTGTTAGAGATGACTCTCCCCCACCCCACTCATATGGACCAGCAGTGCTGGAATCTGTTCTAGTAGAAATGGAGTACTGTTAAAGGGGAACTGTCCAAGGTTCTGAATCCACAGTACCAATGTGAGGGTCCTACTCTGGCCATGGGTAAGACCCACCACTACTCTGGCCATGGGTAAGACCCACCACTACTCTGGCCATGGGTAAGGCACTGACAGCCGTGCTGTCAGACACGCTGTCAAAATGCAATTATGCAGGAGCCTTCCTGTGCCACTGAGGACAAAATAAGTCTGTGAAAAGCATACTGCTGTCACTGTGAAAAAAATTCAGCAAGCTGTCTCACACATCCAATATCGCTATCTTGTGCTGAAGCACAGAATGCCATTATCAAACTAAACAGCAGGGGGCCTGAGATAAAAAAGCTTTTACAGGGCAACATTGTCACAAACCAATTATGGATTTCTCAGTGGTGCTGAGGTGATTGAAAAGTGTTCCATGCCGTGACTAGAAACATTCTACCTCCCATTCCCTCACTGGTCGCTCAGTATCGGCATGCCATTAAACATAGTGGGAGGCTTTGCTTCAGCGCCAAATTCAAGTTCGCTTTTACAAAAACCATACATTGGCATTGATTATGTAATTGACCTAATAAAAGGTAAAGACAAATAAATCACTGCTAACTGTAGAGAGGAACATGGTGGTGTGGTAGGTGTAGCTCTATTGGTATCAGATTGGACAACAAAGGACAGTCAAAATAAACTTGACTGAAATAAAGCAGAGGTTATGTTTAAATTGTACAATCACAAACATAAGACAGTAACACTGACAGTCCTGACCCAAAACACTACCGACTGATTTTGATGCCATAAACAGGTATTAATCAACCTAAATTCATCTAGCATAATATCACAAACAAAGTACTTATCTCCAACTGAACCGTTCTTCAATAATCAATATCTAATTTGAGAGCAAAGCAGTGGCATTTGAGGACTGAAAGAGATCCTCTTTCTCCCTAATGCTTCCAACGTTCCTACTAATACAGACCTGTCCAGAGGGGGTAACCATGAGCCTACCGTACTGTCTCCACAGGGAACCAAATATATAGTACGTCCTTACAAACACACACACATTTGTCTTACCTGGATCTGTGGGCTCTGTGGCACCACAGGACTGTGTCACTGCTGTATATCCCACAAGCCTGAGAGAGAATCAGGACTCTCGTTCTACCTAACAGAGCTTGGAGTTCCTTCTCTCTGCCTCTCCTGCACACACACAACTGGTAAAGCGCTCTCCCCCTGCTCAAGTATAGCCCATCTTCAAAGAGAGAGGGAGGGAGGGAGGCAGACGGGGAGAGAGAGAGGGGAGAGAGGGAAGAAAGAGAGAGAGAGGGAGAGAGATTGCCTTGATAATGCAGATTGTCATAGGAGGGTTGCGTTCCTGGTAATCCAATCCAAGTGGAGTAAAAGCCTCTGTCATCTCACCAGACTTAATTCAACTGATTTGATTCTAGTCTCCCTCCATGAAACTGCTTGGCTCCTTTGCCATTCATTTATTCACATTTTGGCTCCCCAGCTCCTGATCACAAATTAACCTGCCCTGCTCTGAAGTTAATGGGAGTTAAAGTCCAATTATTTCTCTCAAATTTGTTCAGGTAGAGTACTGTATAAATATAGCATGTGCTCTGATGCAGCTAGAGTGTGCAGCACATATTGAACTAACTTCAGTATGTCTGCCTTGACGACCAACGCTACCTACCTATGTCTGTCTGGTGGTCATTTGTGGCAATTATGATACACACAGACTGTGGGACGTTCCCAGGACAAAGGTTCACTGACTGCCAAATAGCACTGAATACTGTACGTACTGTAGTAGTATTGCTGTACTATTGCTGAACCTGTTGCCGTTATCTGTGCAGTAAATCTGCTTCCATGACACGGCAAATGTATCCTGCTGGAGCTGTAAATTACAAGCAGAGGACACAAGCAGTGTGATTGCTACGAGCACGTCTTTTTTATATTATTGTATATTATCAGCAGATTTATACAGTGAATGGAAAGTATACCTGTCATTTGCATTGTAAAGGTAGTGCAGCTTAGCCCAGCCGGCGCTCCAGCTTCCTCCAGGCACTCTGGAAAGTCCACTGGAGTCCATCAGCGTAATTAATATACCACGCTCCGGAAGACACGCGGTGTGCTTCTCAAAATTAGGCTGAAAAAATGTGTCAGAAGGTCACAGTCAATTGATTAATATGGCAGCTGAAGGGAAGAAAGTTTTGCCTCCTGTTTTAACAGCCAGGCTGCCTACTTCTCATTGTGTCCTAAACGGTGGCTCACTGGGCACAGCCTCCCATGGAAACTTTTTCTCCCAATCTATAGGGGTTTCATTTGAGTATGCACTTTAAATCTAAATGAATACATGTGGAAATTGCTTTTGTGACAGAGCAGTAAAATGCAGGGAGCTGTTTCCTCAAATATCAATGAGGCCTGCAACATTCCTCCAATGGAATCACATTAGCAGATCTCATGGAAAAAATACTGGCTCATTTTGGGCACTGGGCTGTATCTCTCTCAGCACAAACCTGTCCTGCTTATCGGATTGTGTTATGGACAGTCAAGTCACAATAATAGGCTATATCATTTGTTCTCAGTCAAAAGGCAGTCACCCCACTTGTTGGTCTAAAGCTGGAGATGGGGCTGAACACACTTAATTGTAACTTGGCTCAACTTGAAAGGATCGCAACAGTATTAAAACGCTACATTGTTTTTACACAACATGGTTAAAACAATCCTATGTTTCGGATCATGATGGGGTAAGACAGGTGTAAAGTACTCAGTTCATGAGTAGGCCAGGCCTATACGTTTCCAATCCACTAAGCATTGAGATTTTACCAAAAGTAGCCTGATTCAAATAAACTAAGGGAATTTAGAATTTGACCTTCGAGGAGTTGATTTACAACATCTGCACGAGCTTGACAAATGGGAGGCCCACTGCAAGGACTCAACTAAGCTTTTGTTCTTTAAAAGCCATCTCTGTTGCAACAATTTCTTCATCTGAAATAAGTGTATCACGTCGGCTGTAGTTGCTAAAGGCCAAATTGGAAATATTGCGACATAAGTTTGCTGTTACAAAAGTTTAAACAGGTATTTCTACAGTCCAAACGAAAGATAGCCAGCCATATGTAGCTACAGTTGAAGTCGGAAGTTTACATACACCTCAGCCAAATACATTTAAACTAAATTTTTCACAATTCCTGACATTTAATCCTAGTACAAATTCCCTGTCTTAGGTCAGTTAGGATCACCACTTTATTTTAAGAATGTGAAATGTCAGAATAATAGTGGAGAGAATGATTTATTTCAGCTTTTATTTCTTTCATCACATTCCCAGTGGGTCAGAAGTTTACATACACTCAATTAGTATTTGGCAGCATTGCCTTAAAATTGTTTAACTTGGGTCAAACATTTTGGGTAGCCTTCCACAAGCTTCCCACAATAAGTTGGGTGAATTTTGGCCTATTCCTCCTGACAGAGCTGGTGTAACTGAGTCAGGTTTGTAGGCCTCCTTGCTCGCACACAAAATTGGCCTACACTGTGCAAGTCCTAAAATCACGATGAGGCACTGTGTGATAATTGGTACACACCTCTTGGGAGGCGTCTGTTATTGGTTCTTCTGTTGTGTTAACGTGCCCCGGTGGAAATCCCCAGTGCTGGTATATGCAGGAACAGAGGTAAAAGCAGTGGCAGGCAGCACAGCGACAACAGGTCTCTGCACTGCCTGTCTGGAGCATTATGTCTCAGTCTGCCCTCCACAAGTACAATTTAGTGACCATTATACGTTCCGGAACTTACATTATGCATAACAGATGAGAGAACTTACAAGGAGGATTTAATTTGTAGTTTCCCCTGCTAACCAAAGTGGAAACTATTACGGTAAGACTTCCTATGCTCTAATATTGCTGTACTGTTTAATGTAAAGGAAACTTTTGGGCTCAAACTTTTGAATGTTTGTATAATTGATTACTCTGATATAGCTAGCCTACTATAACATGAAAAGGACAGCTATTGAAGTCAATATATAATAAAGATGGCAAAAGTATTACTGAGTAAAATTGTGCATTCATAGCAAGCATTCTGGCTAATTTTATTAAATTACTGTACATTAAAATATGTAATATTAAATCCCCTCTCAGCTGGACCAATGGCAGGCGATTGTGAACAAAAGGCTCAACTTCCCCCTGGAGCTGATAGCAGCCATTCAGAAGGACAACTCAATTCTGGTGGGAAGCCTGCTGTCCACAGGGGACGGTATCATTCGCCAGCTGGATGAGTCTGAGGACCGTCTGTGGAGAGAAGCCCTGAACCTGTCCATCCGCTTGGGCAACGAGGACACTTTCTTTGCTCTGATGCTGGTTTGACTTCAGGCAGATCAACCTTTCTCCACCACTATAATAATATGCCATTTAGCAGACGCTTTTATCCAAAGCGACTTACAGTCATGTGTGCATACATTTTTTGTGTATGGGTGGTCCCGGGGATCGAACCCACAACTCTGGCGTTACAAGCACCGTGCTCTACCAGCTGAGCTACAGAGGACCGCTGTGAACTTGCTCCACCTCCTATGTGAGTGCTCCGGTCAAGTGCATGGCTTTTATGCACAGGTTTCGCGCATCTCATTAATTGGTTTCTCCTGTTTTCATTGTGTATCAGAAACATTAATGTTTATGCAAATGATGTCTTTATATGTCTCCATGGCCATATTTGGCCACTCCTTTGATGACTCCCAGTTTGCCCCTGGCGTGACCCCGCTGACCCAGGCCTGTCAGAAGGACCTGTATGAGATAGTCACCATGTTGACTAAGAAGGGCCATGCATCCCTCTGCCTCACTCTATCTCCTGTACCTGTCTGGAGTGGAGGAACGGCCGTCAGTATGACCTGCTGAAGTTCTCTCTGTCTCGTATCAACACCTACCGGGGCATGGCCAGCCGGGCATACCTCTCCATCACCACAGAGGATGCCATGCTCAGTGCCTTGAGACTCAGTCGGGAGCTACGCAAGCTCTCCAAGAAAGAGCCTGAATTTAAGGTATGAGTTGTTTGTTGTTGTGCGTAAATGACAACGTTACTATATTTCTTTACTGTATTTTACCAGGTAAGTTGACTGAGAACACATTCTCATTTACAGCAACGACCTGGGGAATAGTTACGGGGAGAGGAGGGGAGTTGAATGAGCCAATTGGATGGTAACTTTTTAACATCAAAGTAAAGTACATAAAAGTAGAATGTTAGCTCACATGAAGTCAAGAAAAGAGAATGTTAGCTCACATGATGTCAAGAAAAGAGAATGTTAGCTCACATGAAGTCAAGAAAAGAGAATGTTAGCTCACATGAAGTCAATAAAAGAGAATGTTAGCTCACATGAAGTCAATAAAAGAGAATGTTAGCTCACATGAAGTCAATAAAAGAGAATGTTAGCTCACATGAAGTCAATAAAAGAGAATGTTAGCTCACATGAAGTCAATAAAAGAGAATGTTAGCTCACATGAGGTCAATAAAAGAGAATGTTAGCTCACATGAAGTCAATAAAAGAGAATGTTAGCTCACATGAAGTCAATAAAAGAGAATGTTAGCTCACATGAAGTCAATAAAAGAGAATGTTAGCTCACATGAAGTCAATCAAAGGAAGAGTGAAGGCTCAAATATCTAAAGGTCTGATGATGTATCTAGTTGCTTCAATCTCTGTATGTCTCTGTTTGTGTTCCTCAGCCCCAGTATCTGAGTCTGGAAGAGCTGTGTCAGGAATTTGCAGTGGAGATGCTGGCTATGTGTCGCAACCAGTGAGGTCACAACGATCCTGAACGATGATGAGCTGGACGAGCAGACCTTCGAGGAGGGGAATCCAACCCTGTCACGCCTATGTCTTGCAGTCAATTACGATCAGAAACTGGTAACAGTCTACTTTACCTACCCTGTACCAACTTAATTATGCTCAAACTAAATTATCTTCAAACTAATAAATATTTTCACTTTTAGAACTTGTGAGCATGTGTTCTTTTCACCTCTTTCTTCTCCTCTTGTAGTTTGTGAGTCATCCCATCAGCCAGCAAGTGCTGTCGTCCATTTGGTGTGGAAACATCCTGGGGTGGAGGGGCAGCAAGACGGTCTGAAAACTCACAGTGTCTCTTGGGATCTTCTTCACTATGCCTTTCCTCTGTATGATCTACTGGGTCCCTCTCATGTCCAAGGTGAGCTAAGAGTAGAGGCTGGATTCAATCCATATCGCAGAAGTATTGCGGAAGATCTGCGTTTATAGCTCAATTTAAATTTAAAGGCAATGTTCCCGTGTTCGGTGAGACTGCATTCACAGTAAATGCTACATATGTCGGCTCAATCGGAAATTGACTTTACATTTTAACGTGGATCTTCCGCAATACTTCCTGCGCTACAGATTGAATCCAGCCCTAGGTGAAAATACATTGTCTGACTGTTGCTTTTCAGATATGTTGTAAGGATTGTGTTTCAATTTCACACTGGAAAGACTTTGAAGATACCTGTGATCAAATTCCTGCTGCACTCTGCCTCCTACCTGTGGTTCATCATCGCCCTTCTAGTTTAATCTATTTTCATGGAGCTGTACCGCGATGAGTTTGCATCCCACCAGTAAAACATCCTCTACAACTCTCTCCATATGATCTGGGTGGTTGGTAGGTCTATGTTATGTTGTAATTGTTTACTATCAATTTATAAACCTTTCATACCACAAACCCTTTACAAATTGTTTGTAAAGTATAGGCTACCTTTATACACTGAGCATACAAAACATTCCATGACACAGACTGCTCTTTCCATGACACAGACTGACCAGGTGAATCCAGGTGAAAGCTATGTTCCCTTATTGATGGCACTTGTTAAATCCACTTCAATCAGTGTAGATGAAGGGGAGGAGACGGGTTAAAGAAGGATATTTAAGCCTTGAGACAATTGAGACATGGGTTGTGTATGTGTGCCATTCAGAAGGTGAATGGGCAAGACAAAATATTTAAGTGCCTTTGAATGGGGTATGGTAGTAGGTACCAGGTGTACCGGTTTGAATGTGTCAAGAGCTGCAATGCTGCTGGGTTTTTCATGCTCAACAGTTTCCCATGTGTACCAGGAATGGTCCACCACCCAAAGGACATCCAGCCAACTTGATACAACTGTGGGAAGCATTGGAGTCAACATGGGCCAGCATCCCTGTGGAATCCTTTCAACACCTTGTAGAGTCCATGCCTCAACGAATTGAGGCTGTTCTGAGGTCAAAAAGAAGTGCAACTCAATATTAGGAAGGGGTTCCTAATGTTTAGAACACTCAGTGTATAGCCTGCTGTAAATATTCAAAACTGCTATTTTTTTTGTCTGATTATGCATGCCATAAAAATTTTGCAATTAGCAAAACCATGTTTATGAGTAGAACAAGTAATCAAATAATTGCATGAATTCCCTGATCATCAGTATCATTTAGTATTTACATTTACTGTACCTTAACATACAGAGAACTCTGGTATGAGAAAACATGTGGTACATAGACAGAGTAATGTACTGCCTGCTTATGAGTGTATGGGGAGATCTTACTGTGACGTTACCACAGACCACAGTCTAAAACAGACTAAACTGTTAATCTCCAGCTCATGACTCAGTAATTTCAGGTTGTTTCAATTAGAAGGGTAACTGTGTGCTTTCCAGACTCCAGTGTGTCTGTGTACAGGTGACAACTTGCTGTTCACCTGCTGTTTGTGCCAGGCCTGATGAACCCCTGGGGCATCACCAGCCATTCATTACCAGGAGCCCTGGAGCCCAGATGCCCACAGCATGGTCCTCCATGGGCCTGGGAAATGACTCTGTTCAGGGACACCACAGTGTTAGTCACTCCCCACCCCCTGGATGATCTGTTCTAAACTGGAGCCCCAGTTAACAGAAAATAATGATTTGTCAAATCAGATGCTTTTTTAATATTGCTCAATCAAAAGACAGTTTTTTAAACCATGATCATACAGTACATTGAAATGACTTCATACATTACATTTAGGAAATGGTGCTATCTTCATTCCAGATAAAACAAAGATAAAAACACACATAATATTTACTTTTAGCTATAAAAACAAAATCAGTCAAATGAGAATAAAATAAGGGGAAAAAGTGCTTCCTGGGAGTTGCTCCTGATACAGTCAAGTCATCTTCCTCATTGTGTTGTAGACTGATGGGCTTCCTGGTCCTAGTGATGATAAGACATGATAGGCTGATGGACTTCCTGGTCCTAGTGATGATAAGACATGATAGGCTGATGGACTTCCTGGTCCTAGTGATGATAAGACATGATAGGCTGATGGACTTCCTGGTCCTAGTGATGATAAGTCATGATAGGCTGATGGACTTCCTGGTCCTAGTGATGATAAGACATGATGCCACGCTCCCTCAGAACACGGAGGATGATGTAGAGGATTGGTGGAACTGCAACTGCCACGACCACAGTACCAGAGACCTGAGGGAGAGAAGACAGCCCAATATCAATGTTCATATAATACTGTACATCTATGTTGAATACTACGAGTTCAATGTTCAAACATCATACATACCTTGATAGTAGCACTGTAGTCCTTTTGGAAAGACTGCAGATAAGCATGGAGTAGGGCAAGACTGCAGGGCAAGTAAGACTCAGCTGTGCCGTTGGAGTCTCTGCACCTATGGAAAAGTATAGGAATTGTACAGTGAGAACAGCCTAACCAGTTGGCAATAATATACCACAGTGGAGGCTCCTCAGAGGAGGAAGGGGAAGACCATCCTCCTCAGTGAATTTCATAAAAATAAAAATAGTGAAACATAAAAAAACGGTATCCTTTTTAGATAAAACTATACTAAATATTTTAATGTCACCAAATAATTGATTAAAACACACTGTTTTGCAATGCATGTCTATAGTAGCCTCAACAGCACTCTGTAGGGTAGTTGTGTAGCCGGTGGACAGCTAGTTTCCGTCCTCCTCTGGGTACATTGACTTCAATACAAAACCTAGGAGGCTCATGGTTCTCACCCCCTTCCATTGACTTACACAGTAATTATGACAACTTCCGGAGGACGTCCTCAAACCTATCAGAGCTCTTGCAGCATGAACTGACATGTTGTCCACCTAATCAAATGATCAGAGAATGAATCTAGTACTGAAAGCATAAGCTACAGCTAGCTAGCACTGCAGTGCATACAAACAACCTCTCCCTCAACGTGACCAAGACAAAGGAGATGATTGTGGACTACAGGAAAAAAAAGAGGACTGAGCACGCCCCCATTCTCATCGACGGGGCTGTAGTGGAGCAGGTTGAGAGCTTCAAGTTCCTTGGTGTCCACATCACCAACGAACTATCATGGTCCAAACACACCAAGACAGTCGTGAAGAGGGCACGACAAAGCCTCAGGAGACTGAAAAGATTTGGCATGGGTCCTCAGATCCTCAAAAAACTCTACAGCTGCACCATCGAGAGAAACCTGACTGGTTGCATCACCGCCTGGTATGGCAACTGCTTGGCCTCCGACCGCAAGGCACTACAGAGGGTAGTGCGTACGGCCCAGTACATCACTGGGGCCAAGCTTCCTGCCATCCAGGACCTCTATACCAGGCGGTGTCAGAGGAAGGCCCTCAAAATTGTCAAAGACTCCAGCCACCCTAGTCATAGACTGTTCTCTCTGCTACCGCACGGCAAGCAGTACCGGAGTGCCAAGTCTAGGTCCAAAAGACTTCTCAACAGCTTCTACCCCCAAGCCATAAGACTCCTGAACAGCTAATCATGGCTACCCGGACTATTTGCACTGCCCCCCCACTCCATCCTTTTTACGCTGCTGCTACTCTACCCACATGTACATATTACTTCAACTACCTCAACTAGCCGGTGCCCCCGCACATTGACTCTGCACCGGTACCCCCCTGTATATATAGCCTCCCTACTGTTAATTTATTTTACTTCAGCTCTTTTTTTCTCAACACTTTTTTTGTTGTTGTTTTATTTTTACTTTTTTTTTTGTTAAAAATAAATGCACTGTTGGTTAAGGGCTGTAAGTAAGCATTTCACTGTAATGTCTGCACCTGTTGTATTCGGCGCATGTGACCAATACAATTTGATTTGATTTGATTTGAATGTGGTGAGTAGTTGACTCAAAGAGAGAGAAAGACAATAGTTGAACAGTTTTGAACAAATTAATTTCTTAAACAATGAAGGAGAAACATGAGAGAGAGACAGCTATATTTGTATTTTTTTCACTTTCACTTACTTATCTAGCAAATGCAGCTAGCTAGCTAGTTTAGCCTACTCAAACACCCGGCTCAAACAGAGAGGGATGCTATGTTACCTAGCTGGCTATGGCTATCCAACACTGGAACTCTTCCAAGTCAAGGTAAGCTTTTGGTTTTATTAATTTATTGCCACCGAGGCCCGCCGGTGTAACTGCTAAACTGCTTGCTAACTGTACACTGTACTGCATGATTGTAGCGGATTTACTAATGCGTTAGTTCTAGTAGCTACGTTGTTTTCTTGACGTTAGCTAGTATGGGGACAACAATGTAGGCTGTGTGTAGCGGTTAGCAGTTATGATTTGGCTTGGAAAGTTTTTTTTGCCTGGTCACAGACAGCTGATGTGTTGTGCACTGAAGTCCACAAGCGAAGGGAAAAGGTGAGAGAAGGAGAGCACGTAGATGCGAGAAGGAATTGTACAATGATCTGGCTGCTATGAAAGTGAACTGTGTTTGCATGTGATCAAGGGTCTATTCATTCCGCCGATTCTGTTGAAAAAAGCTTCTTAAACGGAAGCAAATGGAACGGAATGAAACGGGATTAAACATACCTGAATTTGTCCAATAGAAACTCTCATTTGCAACTGTTGGACTAATGATTACACCCTAGATCAGCTAGATGCAGGCAAGATTGTGCAAGGCGGTATTGAATGTGTCAATGTCTGTCACCTTGATTACAAAAATCTATCTCAACCTGTGTGCACCTACGTTGTAAACTTTCATTCATAGGCTAGGTTGTAGCAACCTCATGATGGGTATAGGGAAAATTATAGTATGATGTAGTAAGTAGCCTAAACTTATCCATGTTACATTGAGTTGGGTAAATGGAATATATATGAGAGTCATCCAATATGCTGTAATAGAAATAACGCCATGCTCATAAAACAAATAATCGTCGTCCCTCATCTTAAACGGCACCGACCGCTACTGATATTCCATCATACCCTCAGGTAGTGTGCATGGCATTCGCATGTTGTGAATAGTGTACAGTACCACAGTACATACCTGCGGTAAAGTGTAGTTGCCAGCTCAGTGTTATCTGCCATGTAATGCTGTGTCAGACCCAGTTCAGACAGGACGGACAACGGTAACCCCTGTTCCTCTTGAACAAGCACACCAAGACTGTACCAGCCCTGTGAGAAAAAGCATGCAGACACACACACTCAAGGGTGGCAGATGAGTGGGACGGCATTCCTTTAATGAGATGGTAATTGTCATGAGCCTCTCACTCCACCGGGTTACCACCTTAATTTTCTTCCACTCTGCTCACCACTCTCTCTACTCAGCCTAACTAGCTCCACCTGTCCCTGCTCTGCTCTGCTCTAATTACTCTGCCAGCTGCGCTGCATTACCCACTACCTCTCCCAGTATTTAAGGCCCTGTCTTTCAGCTCTCCGGTGTCAGATCGTCTGCAAAGCTCACACCCGGAACCTGTTTGCTCGCGCTTCTGGCTCACCCTGGTTTTGTGACCCCGGACCTGCCTGATTTTTGGATACTCTTCTGCCCCAGGAGATCCAGACCTGCTTCTGCCATTACGACTCCTGACTACTCTTCAATCCCGGTAACTCTGACCAGCCTTCTGCCTTGCTACTACGAATTTTGGATTTCCCTTGAACTGTACTGCTGCCTTGTTTCATTCCGCCCTGTTGTGTCTGTGTCTCCCCCCCCCAGGACTTCTGGACCACCCACCACCGGCTTCATAGGACGCATCGCTGCCACTGGGGGGGGCACAGACCCAGCGCATTGGACGGGATCCCTGTTACCCCTGGAGCCTTCATTCACTCCCTACTTCCCTTTTCCCTTAAGTTTTAATAAACTTTCTGGTGTGACGCAATTGTGGTCCTCTGGTCGTCTGTCTGAACCGTGACAGTACGATCTGACCATTATGGACTCAGCGCACACTTTCCCCGACATGGAAACCGATGAGCATGAGCAGCAGTTCCAGCAGCAGCAACAACAACTCGCCATGATCATTCAACTCCTCACCAACCTTACCCCAGCCAGTCTGCCCACCAGCCCTGCCCCCGAGTTACCTGCCCCGGTCATTGCAGCCGCTGCTCCGGAACCCAAGATTGGAAACCCCGAGCGGTTCAACGGCGATTCAACCCAGGTCCGGCCATTCCTGACTAGCTGCCGACTTCAGTTCTCCTTGCAGCCAAGGACCTTCGCCACGGAGGGGGCTAAAGTTGGGTATGCCATCACTCACCTGACGGGCCGAGCTCGACTCTGGGGAACAGCAGAGTTCGAACGTCAAACCCCCGCATGTGCAACCTTCGACCTGTTTGCTGAGGAGATGCTGAAGGTGTTTGACCTGGATTCACCAACCGCAGAGGCGTCTCGTGAACTGTTCAGTATTCGACAAGGCAGACGTACAGTCGCAGACCATTCCATCGACTTCCGAACCCTGGCTAGACGAAGTTCTTGGAACACACCATCGTTGGTGGACGCGTTCTTCCATAGTTTGGCTGACTATATCAAGGACGAGTTGGTCTCCCATGAACTGCCTTCCACTCTTGATGAAGCCATCGCACTGACTGTCAGGATCGACAGAAGGATACAGACCCGTCGTCGTGAGAGGGGGCGCCAAGGTCCACCTACTACCGGCATTCGGAGAGATCCGACTGGGCTCCTGTCATCTACTGCCACTCACCCAGGTCAGCTTGATCAGTCTGAGCCTATGGAGATTGGGCGAGCCTCTCTCACTCCTGCAGAGCGCCAGCGCCGCTTCACCTCAAACCTCTGCCTCTATTGTGGAGGTGATGGACATCGTGTGGTAACCTGCCCTTTAAAGGGCCGAAGCTCACCGGGCATAGGGGGAGTCCGGTTGAGTTCAATGACCATCCAGTCCTCCGACCGCAAACCCCTGCTGCAAGTTCACCTCCGCCTCTCTGACTCAACTCACACCCTGGCTGCTCTGGTGGATTCTGGCGCCGAAGCCAACATAATGGACATCAAGCTGGCACGCCAACTGGGACTGGAGAACCTCCGTTTGACACCTCCTATTCCTGCCCGGGCACTGGACGGACACTTACTCGGATCGGTCACTCATGTCACGGCCCCGGTCTCGATGGGTCTGTCCGGAAACCATCAAGAAACTATCCAGTTTCACCTGCTCCCCTCTCCAGGCCAACCTCTCATCCTGGGTTACCCATGGCTCCGCCGGCACAACCCTCAGCTCGACTGGGTGACCGGGGTGATCAGGGAGTGGGGAGAGGACTGCCACCGAACCTGCCTGCTTGCTGCCGCACTACCCCCTCGGCCAGTACCTACTAACTCCGCTCCTGACCTCTCCAATGTCCCAGAATGCTACCATGGTCTCAGAGAGGTGTTTAACAAAGCAAGAGCCACATCTCTGCCCCCTCACCGACCGTACGACTGTGCCATCGACCTCCTCCCTGGAACAGCCCCTCCAAAGGGTCGTCTTTATTCGTTGTCTGCTCCTGAAAGAAAGTCCATGGAGGACTACATCAATGGCTCTCTGTCCGCAGGATTAATCCGTTCATCTTCATCTCCTGCTGGTGCTGGCTTCTTCTTTGTGGGGAAGAAGGACGGATCTCTTCGCCCCTGCATCGACTACAGGGGACTCAACGACATCACAGTGAAGAACCGTTACCCTCTGCCTCTGCTCACCTCTGCTTTTGAGTTGCTCCAGGGAGCCACTGTTTTTACCAAGTTGGATCTCAGAAACGCTTACCACCTAGTGCGGATCCGGGAGGGAGATGAATGGAAAACCGCATTCAATACACCAACAGGCCACTACGAGTATCTGGTTATGCCTTTTGGCCTCACCAATGCTCCTGCTGTGTTCCAGGCTCTAGTGAATGATGTACTGCGGGACATGTTAAACAAGTTTGTCTTCGTTTACCTGGATGACATCTTAATCTACTCCAGAAACCTGTCTGAACACACCCGCCATGTCCAGCAAGTCCTTCATCGTCTTCTGGAGAATTCCCTCTACGCCAAGGCAGAGAAATGTGAGTTTCACGTCAAGACAGTGGCCTTCCTGGGGTACATAGTGGCAGAGGGAAGTATCCAAATGGATCCTGCCAAAGTATCAGCAGTCACTTCATGGCCAGTTCCGGAGAACAGAAAGAAGCTGCAACAGTTTCTGGGGTTTGCTAACTTCTATAGAAAGTTTATCCGGAACTACAGTACCGTTGCTGCCCCTCTCACTGCTCTAACCAGCACCAAGCAACCCTTCACCTGGACCCCAGCAGCCGACAAAGCCTTCAGTACCATCAAGGTGAGGTTCACCTCCGCTCCCATCCTCCAGATGCCTGATGTGGACCGGCAATTCATTGTGGAGGTGGACGCCTCGGATGTGGGAGTTGGTGCTGTGATTTCTCAGTGGGCTGCGGAGGATAGGAAGCTCCATCCCTGTGCCTTTTTCTCACGTCGGTTGTCCCCCTCTGAGTGCAATTACGACATAGGGAACCGTGAGCTGCTGGCTGTGAAGCTTGCCTTGGAGGAGTGGCGTCACTGGCTGGAGGGGTCCACCATTCCATTTCTCGTTTGGACCGATCATAAGAACTTGGAGTACATCCGCACGGCCAAACGGTTGAACTCCAGGCAGTCCCGCTGGGCCCTGTTCTTCACCAGGTTTAATTTCACTCTGTCATACCGGCCTGGATCACGCAACACCAAGCCAGACGCCCTCTCCCGTCAATTCCAGAAGGATGACACCCCCTCCAAGGACCCTGTGTCGATTCTGCCAAGTCCCTGCATCGTTGCAGCTCTGACCTGGGCTGTTGAGGAACAGGTGCTGGAGGCTCTCCGTAACCAGCCAGGTCCCAGCACTTGCCCAGCTGACCGCCTTTTTGTCCCCGAAGACCTGAGGTCCCAGGTCGTTCAGTGGGGACATGACTCCCGCCTAGCTTGTCACCCTGGCTCCACCCGCACTTACAACCTGCTCGCCCAGAGGTTCTGGTGGCCCTCTCTGAGGAAGGATGTACGGGAATTCGTCCAAGCCTGCCCCATCTGCAACCAACACAAGTCGTCCTGCCAGCCCCCAGCCGGATTGCTGCAGCCCCTGCCTGTGCCCAGACGTCCCTGGTCTCACATCGCCCTTGACTTTGTCACGGGGCTGCCCCCTTCAAGTGGCATGACCGTCATTCTCACCATAGTTGACCGTTTCAGCAAGATGGCACACTTCATTCCCCTCCCCAAGCTCCCAACCGCCAAGGAGACCGCCCAGGTGGTCCTGGAACACGTCTTCCGGATCCACGGACTGCCAAAGGATGTAGTTTCTGACCGTGGTCCACAATTCTCCTCCGCTTTTTGGAAGGAGTTCTGTCACCTGCTGGGAGCCACAGTCAGTCTGACTTCCGGATTCCATCCCCAATCCAATGGGCAGTCAGAGCGGGCTAATCAGGAGCTCGAGAAGGCACTGCGATGCATGACTTCACGCAACCCCCACTCCTGGTCGCAGCAATTGACATGGGTGGAGTACGCACACAATTCTCTGACCTGCTCTGCCATCGGTATGTCCCCTTTCCAATGTGTTTATGGATACCAGCCTCCTCTATTTGCCAGCCAGGAAGAGGAGGTTACTTGCCCATCTGCACTTGCTTTTGCCCGTCGATGTCGCCGCACCTGGTCACAAGCCCGAGCCACACTCCTCAGATCCGTTGCCAGCTACACTACCGGGGCCAACCGTCGGAGAATTCCTGCTCCCACCTACCATGTTGGTCAAAGGGTGTGGTTGTCATCGAAGAACCTACCACTCAGGGTGGAGTCGCAGAAGCTGGCACCTCGGTTCATTGGCCCATTCCCTATCATAAGAGTGATTAGCCCAACTGCTGTCCGGCTCCAACTGCCTAATTCCCTGAGGGTGCACCCCACTTTCCATGTGTCTAAGATTAAGCCCATCCATGAGAGTCCGCTGGTCCCTGCTGCGCCTTGTCCTCCTCCTCCACGGCTCGTCGATGGTGGTCTGGTTTACACCGTCCGCCGCCTGCTTCGGTCCAGACGGAGGGGTAGGGGTCTCCAGTACCTCATTGACTGGGAGGGCTATGGACCTGAGGAAAGGACCTGGGTGCCAGCTAGTCGGATTGTGGATAGGACTCTCATCACCGCTTTCCACCAACGGCATCCTGATCAACCTGCAATCCGTAGGGGCCGCCCCAGAGGGGTCCCTAACCGTCCTGCCCGCTCGGCTTCCTGTCCTGTGCCTGATCCTGTCTCGGGACCTGTCCCATCTCCCGACCACGGCCCTCCGGCTTCCTCCGAGGATGAGGACGTTCACTCGGACCGTTCGGAGGAGTTCTAGCCCTCCTCCGGCTCCCCTCCTCCCGCCCGGCGTGGTGTTGCTCTTGGGACTTCTGGGGCCGTCCCTTGGGGGGGGGGTTCTGTCATGAGCCTCTCACTCCACCGGGTTACCACCTTAATTTTCTTCCACTCTGCTCACCACTCTCTCTACTCAGCCTAACTAGCTCCACCTGTCCCTGCTCTGCTCTGCTCTAATTACTCTGCCAGCTGCGCTGCATTACCCACTACCTCTCCCAGTATTTAAGGCCCTGTCTTTCAGCTCTCCGGTGTCAGATCGTCTGCAAAGCTCACACCCGGAACCTGTTTGCTCGCGCTTCTGGCTCACCCTGGTTTTGTGACCCCGGACCTGCCTGATTTTTGGATACTCTTCTGCCCCAGGAGATCCAGACCTGCTTCTGCCATTACGACTCCTGACTACTCTTCAATCCCGGTAACTCTGACCAGCCTTCTGCCTTGCTACTACGAATTTTGGATTTCCCTTGAACTGTACTGCTGCCTTGTTTCATTCCGCCCTGTTGTGTCTGTGTCTCCCCCCCCCAGGACTTCTGGACCACCCACCACCGGCTTCATAGGACGCATCGCTGCCACTGGGGGGGGCACAGACCCAGCGCATTGGACGGGATCCCTGTTACCCCTGGAGCCTTCATTCACTCCCTACTTCCCTTTTCCCTTAAGTTTTAATAAACTTTCTGGTGTGACGCAATTGTGGTCCTCTGGTCGTCTGTCTGAACCGTGACAGGTAATGGTATCACATGGATGTAACCTGGCTGGCATACCTGTGGGTCACTCCTTAGTGCTGCCTGTTTGTACATCTCTGCTGCTGCTGCAACATCTTTCGGTCTCCGCTCATGTCCTTCATACAGCAGGTCACCCATCCTGATCAGGGCTGGAGAGGATGGATGGAGAAAATATTAATACAATCTCCCTGAGAAAAGTGCAATGACAGAGTCAGTGCAGACTGTTTATGTCAAAGACAATTCACCGTAGGGATCAGGATCTTGTGTCTGGATGGTCAGGTTGTAGTGTCTCCTCATACACTGCACTGCAAAAGTGGGATCCAGGAAACCTCCCTATTGGAAAGGTCAGTTATAACTACATGTGTGTCATACTACATGTGTGTCATATACTGAACAAAAATATAAACGCAACATGAAAAGTGTGGTCCCATGTTTCATGAGTAAAAATAAAAGATCCCCGAAATTTTCCACAAAAAAGCTTATTTAGCTCACATTTTTGTACAAATTTGTTTACATCCCTGTTAATGAGCATTTCTCGTTTGCCAAGATAATCCATCCACCTGATAGGTGTGGCATATCAAGAATCTGATTAAACAGTATGACCATTACACAAGTGCACCTTGTGCTGGGGACAATAAAAGGCCACTCTGAAATGTGCAGTTGCCACAACACAATGCCACAAATGTCTCAAGTTTTGAGGGAGCATGCAACTAGCATGCTGACTGCAGCCATGTCCACCAGAGCTGTTGCCAGATCATTTAATGTTAATTTCTCTACTATAAACCACATCCAACGTCATTTTAGAGAATTTGGCAGTACGTCCAACCAGCCTCACAACCGCAGACCACGTGTAACCACGCCAGCCCAGGACCTCCATATCCGGATTGACGTGTAAGACAGTGTGTTCCAGTTCCAGTTCCAGCCAATATCCAGCAACTTCGCACAGCCATTGAAGAGGAGTGGGACAACATTCCACAGGCCACAATCAACTTCCTGATCAACTCGATGCGAAGGAGATGTGTCGCGCTGCATGACGCAAATGGTGGTCACACCAGATACTGGCTGGTTTTCTGATCCACGCACCTACATTTAAAAAAAAGGTATCTGTGGCCAACAGATGTATATCTGTATTCCCAGTCATGAGAAATCCATAGACTAGGGCCTAATAAATGTATTTCAACTGTCTGATTTCCTTATATTAACTCAGTAAAATCTTTGAAATTGTTGGATGTTGCGTTAATATTTTTGTTCAGTATAGTTATACACTCTATCATCACTGTGGAAACAAGTTCCACCAATCCAACTCACAGGGTTTTGTTCACATAAGTACGCCACATTGAACTGGGCGGCTGCAAATCCTGACTCAGCTGCCATCATGTAATACAACAAGGCCATTAAGCTGTAAAACAGTAAAAACATTAGGTTCATACAATAACAAACATTCAAATTAGGGTTATCATGTAATGTTCTAAGAAGAGAGACGGTCACCTATCCCCTTTAAAATAGGAATCCAAGGCCTTCCTGAGGACCATTCCAAGGTGTCCATTGTGTTCAGCTGCCCACTTAACCCATCTGTGGTCAAAACAGAGTGGTTGGCAAGCAATGCAAAGCAATGTTGTAATCAGATTCTGAAAAAAAAACTAATAATTTAGTGACTAACAATACAGCATCTGCTGGACGCCTCTTGACTCGGCCAGGGATCCCTGTGGTCCACACATCAGCCAGCTGAATGGAGCCATCTATGTTTCCTCTCTGGGCAGACTTCAGGTAGTAGGTATAGGCCATGAACTGGGAGAGACAAAACACTGTTGGTTCATTATCTCAGTCCAATAGCTACGTAGGTGACCACAGGGTATACTGACAGTTGACCTGACCTTGTCTGCAGCTTTCCCAGGATACAGGCCTTGGGAGTACATGACACCCAGATTCATAGCAGCATCTGAGCTGCCTTGTTTATCAGCCTGTTCCCACAGCTGCACTGCCCGCTGGTAGTCCTTCTCAAACTGCTCATAGTACCAGCCAAGGGCGTTGATCGCTGGCATGAAACCCTGTGGGATCGAATGGTATGATGAGCAATTTTGAAGGTGTCATTGTAGTCCTACTGGCCATGCATAATGATAAAGTTCTGAACATCACTTTGACCAACCTGCTCAACTGATTTCTTCAGGAAAGTGACTGCCCTTGGAATGTCTTTCTCGACTCCTTGGCCCTTCAAAGTAATGATGGTATTGTCAAGATAGGCTAGACATTACTATCATTGACCTTAGAATGACTATAGAGACTGACTGTGTCATCAAACTGAGTGATTGACCTCTGACCTGCATGAGGACTATTGCGTAGTCATACATGGACACTGGGTCCCCCAGACGGACAGCTCCTCTCTCATAGTGTCTCACAGCAGTCTGGATGTCTGGAGACACACCCTGCTGGCCCCAGAACAGCATACGAGCCACAGCTTGCTATAGAAGAGCAGTTCAACCATTATCAACCATTATCACAAAAGATTTCTTGAGATTATGTTTAATACTGAATACAATCAGACATATGTGTAGTACCTCTGCATCTGCGGCTCCATTGCGGGCCTGGAGTTTTAACCAGTGAAAGATATCATGGTTTTCATTGGTTTGTAACGCAAGCACTTCCTTGTTGTTCAGGTAAATAGATTCTACAAACATCTACAAAACAGACATAGCAGATGAGGAGCAGTTTCATTAAATGACATGTTTTAGGATTGTATAATACATGCACAGACTGAGATGATCTTGCTTCAAGCACGAAGGTCTACCTGCTGAGGTGAGGGGTTGTGCTGGTCGGAGGACGTCTGCTTGGCGATGTTAGAGTAGTAGGCATAGGCCAGGTCAGGGTCTGAGGGGATGCCATGCTCACCCAGCCGGTGCAGGTGCCCGAGGCGCAGCAGGGCCAGTCTCCAGTCCTTCTGGGCTGACAGCAGGGACAGTAGCCATGCCTGGAGGATGAGGGGAGTAAGAGACATGCAAAGTATAAATAGTGGGCCTGAGTTTCTCCTGACCATGAAAAACTCCTGAATGCACACTCATTCACCCACTTTATTGGGCTTCCTCTCCACTCCTAAACCACTGCTGTAGAGCACCGACGACAGGTGTAGAGCTCTGTTGTTCCCCAGACAGCCAGCTTGTAGCAGAGGGGCCATTATCCTGTTAACTACTCCAGTGGATCCAGTGCTCTCTTGGCGCAGCTTACGCAGAGACAAGGAGTACAGAGCCCTTCCCATTGACGCCAGATCAACCTTTCTGCCACCTGGGTATACAGTATAAACAATAACATTAGAGATTGCAACATCCTCAGAAGAGTATATTTATCATTATGACCAGCTCTTACCATGCTTGGAGGCCAGTATCTTTGCCAGTCGTACTGCATAGCGTCTTTGAGGGGCACTGGGTGCCTCCCAGGGTTCACAGTGTGGTGTCACAGCTAGATTATATTTTAATGTCCGTTCATGATAAGCATCCATACAGTTCTCTGGAAAACAGAGGTAGTGTCAGTTTGGATGGAGAGTGACACTAACTTTGTGAGCCACTGAATATTCGATACACCATCATGCCATCTAGTGGATGTTACACGTCATTACCAGACTCTTGTTTCTCTCTGGCTCTCAGTAAATATCCGGTCAATTTGATATGAAGCTCCAACTGAAATCCCTGACAAGACTGTAGCCATCCAGTCAAATTCAGACTCCTAATATGGTCTGGAACAATGACTTCAGACTGCGGGAGACAAGTGAATACATGTGTAACATGTTTTGTTAAATTACAGATGGATTTGGATGTGTCTGACTGATTCTTACCGTCCTGACATTAGGTATTCTGTTACGATAGTACACCAACGGTCCATAATAACCTTCAATTCCTCTCATAAATCGACCTCCACTGACCACAAAGTAGCCGTCCGTATCATCCAGGTGTATAGGATCTCTGAACCTGTAACAAACCAGTTCCATATTCAAAATGATTCTGACATGTATTATAGGTTTCTCTCTACTGTCATCATGTTCATCCTTACGTGTGTTCTGCAGTATGAACCAAACGTTGCTGACCATCTATGCACACCATGGTGACATCCACCTAAAAATAATCCAGAAAAAGAGTGAAGATATTGTTGCAATAGAATACTGGTTAGTCTCCTGAAGTAGGGAGTGGGTTGACACTGATTTCCTGTCTGTCTACTGTGGGTAGGGGTTAATACTGACCGTTCTGCCACGCAGCTCCATGTTGACGTGGCACCACTGGGCCAGGGGCACCTGGAACGGACAGAGGAACGCTGAGGACCTCCCAGACTCCCCATGCATCTGGACCTGCAGCTGGCCTGCAGAACACATGCTATAACTAAGGACTAGGCAATATAATGGTCTAATAATGCATCTGACCATAAGTGAGAATAGAAGAGCATTTCTGTCTTATGTTACCTGAACTTTTAAGGAACAAATTGGGAGTGGCATAGTTATTTTGATAGTCTATGTGGTGAAATACACCACACAACTTTTCCTGGCAGGATTGGGTCAGAAATACCCAGATGGAGAACACACACCTGGCAACAGGGGAGAAAAAAATTATCAAATATCATCCTATGTTAATATCCGCAACGTGAAGCCCATGTCTTTTAGCATGCACATACAGACTATGTAGCTAGTGGTCTTACCATGGAAAATAAATATCTTGGAGCCGCAAGTACTCCAGGACCTCGTTGCTATAGGTATTTAACGTCTTGGTGATGCCAAAGTTCTCTCCAGTTGAGGCATACATGGACGACAACAAATGGACCGTCTCTGAATGGGAGATTATTTTTTGATAAAATGAGAAATGCTAGGATATAAAGGTTTGCATGAAGTTTGTTATAGTTTATAGCCTAAATATGTTGAAAATGAATTACTGACTGAGATGTCCTACACTACTATACCTTGTTTGACTATGACTGCTTTTAGTGTCTCAAAGCTCTATTTGAGTGGTCCACAATGTGGTTTTTAAAATCTGTATTTTGTATTGTCAACTATTGTATCGTTGTGGACTGACATTTTTTTAAACTAACCAACTAACTCTACACAACAGTAATTACCTTGTTCCACAGGGCATTGTGAGGTGGTGGTCCTGCGGGTTAGCCACAGCATCTGTGTAGCCCAGCCAGGGCAGAGTTGATGTTGCTTCATGGGGCGACTGAGAGGGGGCGTGGGCTGCAAGCTGACCACCGCAGTGGCCTGGCCTGACCTGTAACTGTCCTCAGATCCCTCCTCACTGACAGAGGCACGCAGCATGCCACTGAGCACCCACTGAGTGTCAGGCACAACCCAGTCAGGCTGGTACACCAGCCAGTCAGGGAGGCTCAGTAGCAGAGTCCTAATCCGGTCCGGGCCCGGCTCACAGCTCCAGTGTCTCTGGAATACCGTGGACTTTACTCCAGTGTCATAAGAGACCAGACACTCCACCAGCACCACAGCTGGATTAGAACAGGAGTACAACACTTTCAGCGAGTAGCCAGACACTGGTTCAGCTGGGGGATTCAGGAACACAACACGATCTGAACACCAAACAATCTGTGTCGAGGGAGAGGAAAGCCAGCAAAATAGTATGTACATCAAAAATTGATCAATTTCTTTAAAATGAAGCGCCAAAATTGAAACGGCTATTTTGAGAATAGATATATTACAACATAGCCTACCTGTAAACTGAGCTGAAACAGTAATAACCACTTTTCCAAGTTATGTTGGTTCATGGTCCGAGTGTGGGGGTGTTTAATTCGTTTAAAATGATGGCTGCTCAATAAAAATGTGGTTTAAATGTTTTAATGCAAAGAAGCACACGAAAGACAAACACTAAATTCAGTCAAATTAAAAGGTTACCAGTAAAAACGCAAATAAAGGACCATATAGTCAAATCTAGTTTAAAAAAGGTGCGTTTGCTGTCCTTTTGACTGGAAGAAACCTAAGAGAAAGTTTCAATGACGAGAACCCGGACTAATATCCTGCTTTGTCCATAAATTAAACAAGTGCTTATGTAAATATTGGAATAAATGCACACAGCTCCACCTGTTAGCGCTGCGCAATCAGACGCGTCACGTGACCAATAGATCGACGGATTATTTGCTAGACGGGAGCAGTCAACTCGCCTAAATTCACTCTCATTTGTTACGGCATTCGAAAATGTTTACACATTTAATACATATTGCGCTTGTTTATTACTGTTAACTAGAGGGATAAGAATGTTTAAAACATGTAAATATGATTAATACATAAACATCCCCTTGTCTGTTCATTATGCAGTGCCAGTTACTCTAGAAAACCTGTTATACGATAACATCTCACACCTTGCAACTGTTTTATGTGTTACTGTTATCATCCCCCAAACAAAGAGCTCTTCGTATCTGATAAACAAAGTCCATGTCTTTCATTCAAAATAGTTTATTGCTATCATGCATGAGTGCCATAAAAGTATAGAGAACGTCACAGAAGATACCAAAACATTTTTTTATCTGTACAAATATATGTATTCATAAATAGAAGCTCAAAGGGAGAAGTCGGGAGTTAAAGTAGGGCTGGACAGAGAGTCATGATGCTCGAGTTGATCTACATTTTACATTTTACATTTTAGTCATTTAGCAGACGCTCTTATCCAGAGCGACTTACAGTTAGTGAATACATCTTTTTTTATTTATTTTTATACTGGCCCCTCGTGGGAATCGAACCCACAACCCTGGCATTGCAAACGCCATTTTCTATCAACTGAGCTACATCCCTGCTGGCCATTCCCTCCCCTACCCTGGACGACGCTGGGCCAATTGTGCGCCGCCCATGAGTCTCCCGGTCGCGGCCGGCTGCGACAGAGCCTGGATTCGAACCAGGATCTCTAGTGGCACAGTTAGCACTGCGATGCAGTGCCTTAGACCACTGCGCCACTCAGGAGCATTCTGTAATGGATCTCAAGTCCATTACAGATGTTAATACAGCAGTTGACATGCATCAATACAACTCAGTGCAGTATAATGGCAACTGTCAGTCACTGATAGACGGCATAATCCATATTACAGGTTCATCGTGCAGAAGAGGTACAAATTACACTTTAAAAAGTACCAATAGGAAGTTCATGTTTTCAACTGATCAATAAAATAATTACATTTATTTTTCATCCCATTCCATCAATTGCACTGTGTGAGGCCTCCCGTCGGGGGCGATGGTGTAGTTTGGAACACTGCTTTGGTTATTACACAGATTCAGGAGCAGTCGAGCAGGTTCATTGCTTAGGAAGTTATAGGAGAGTCCCTCCTACCAGAAAGTATCGTGACATACTTTTCTAAACCACGTGTGCCCTCAAAACCATTAATGGCAAGTGAGTTTATAATTATGATGGGTAGATACAGTACCATTACTGTTATTGTGTGCTTGACTTTGGATCTGTATAATGTGAATCTAGGTGATCAGGGTATTCTACAGTACAAGCTAAAGTAGCAAACCCCTCCCCAGAATGCTCTACACACAACTTGGAGTCTTAGAAATACAAACGCAGCCTGAAACTCCCTGCTTGAAATTATGTGGGTGACATTGTCAAATTGCTCACCTTATTTTTGTTTGGAGTCCCCAGATAAAAACGGAAGGCAGTGCTACTCATTCTAACGCTGCCTCTAACGTACAACAGACAGCACATATATAGTTGATGACAAGAATAAAGGCCACTGGACCAGAGTCTTTGTTTTGGCACTTAAAAAGAGTAGCATCTCCAACAATAGCCTACAGAACATAATGACTCACATGGTATCTCTTACAATTGCAAAGTTGATTGCTATGATTGGCAATTTGCAAATGTAGAGGTTTACTTCAAAAAACATTTTACATTGATATTACATTCATATAGTTCAAGTAGTCCTTTTAATAACTTTCCCCTCTATTAGGGAACTTAAATCAGGGACAATTACTTCTTGCGCTGTTATACAGGCTACTTATTTTGTTGCAGCTTTGTATGTGCTGGGGTCTTCTAGGGGTTTAAATCAAGTTAGCACTTCTACTTCACTTCCAAAGGTGCACCATCATGTATGTATGTATGTATTTGTGTGTGTGTGTGTACTGTATGCGTATGTGTGTGTGTGTGTGTGTCGCTGTGACTGCAGTTGTACTGGAAGAGTTCTGCCAACATTGATTGCTAGATTTCGTGTTAGCACAATTGACTCAGGAGGTTTTTGCAAGTATTGTTCAGCCCCCTCCCCCTATTGACCAACAATGACACCCATTAGGTGCTCAAGGTCCATCTGACACAATCCTTTATCAAAACACATAACAAGGAGATGGTTGGGTATTAACCAAAAGAAACAGCAGATTTTAAGTGTTGTCTAAGCAGAATGGGGACAAGAACCAAGCAAACACCTAGGAGCATTCAGAGAATATCAGTCAAACAAAACGTGAAGACATGCAAACTGACACAGGTTGAAGTAAAACCAAAAGACGTCCACCCCGGAGACTTGTTGCTCTTTGAGAGACTGGCACCCTTTCCTGCTAAATAAATAGTGCTTTACATTCCACTATACAATACCACCCATTCCCAACATTATCAGGATAAAAATCATATAAATCGGATAGCTGGTTGCGCCCACAGCTCCTCAGAGAAAGTACCAACAAAACCATAAAGGCAAAGATTTGCGCCATCGCTTGTGACTAGTCAACAACCCAAAACAACTTCTCCAAAACAGAAATAATAATAAAGTGAAACACCTTTGACCTCTTTAATAGTCTTTAACCCTCCTCATTATTTCTTCTGTTTTTTGAAGATCTTGAAGGTGTGTTTCTTGCGGCTGGCGACGGAGTCTGTGTCTTCTCCCGTGGAGCCGCTGTCTTCCTCCAGAGGGCTCTTCTTGGAGGAGACCTGAGGGATGCGGCTGCTGCCCTTGGCCCCTGCGGCCCCAGGCTGGCCCCCCGTGGGGGAGGGGGTGTCGGCGTCGGTGGAGTTGGGGCTGAGGGAGCGGGAGGACTCTGAAATGGACATACCAACGAGGCCAACATCCATCTCTCCCAGGCTGGCTGACTTCTCGATGCTGTATACCTTCTTCATCAGGATGGGGCTCTCTGGGACTGGCTCAGCCAGGGCTCCTCCCTCGTGGACACGGTTCCCTCCATTAGGGGTGTGTGCATGCAGGGAGGGCTCGTCGGAGGCGGAGCGGATTGGGGGGCCATACAGGAAGGAGGTGGGTTTCACCAGGTGGCCCTTGGAGCTGTAGGCAGACAGACGATCACCGATTTGGCAGAGGGACAGGGAGGAGTCTGAGTCTGAGCGGTTCAGTTCCCTGTGGGTGGAAGAACAGAAGAGAGTCGGTGGAGGAAGAGTGAAAGAGAGGGACTGTGAGGCCCGGTCCAGAGACATTCTATAGCCTCTACCACCTAGGCACTTCAAGTAGATCTGAAAGAACTGGACAGATATAAGCAATGGTAGTAGCTCCATTTCCCCCTCTGATAGGCTAGGTGGATTTTTTTACCACCAGATGGAATGCTTACATCTTTCTAATCCTTTCAGAACTATGGGGTACATGCCTATGGGGTAGAGGGATTGTTTCTGGAATGGGCCTGACTGAAAAGTGGATCCAAGCTAAAGCACTGCATGCTGGAGGTAATCTAACCAATGCCTATAAAGCCAAGGACACAGTGGACACTACTGGGAAACTCCACTCCTGTTAGTAGTGCAGCCAGGGGGAAAGACAAGGGTTGGGAGAGGATGGCAAAAACTCAAAATATGAAATAATGAATAAGGCATCAAAATTGATTTTCAACAAAAAAGTAATAACGCAATGTAATGTAAGTAATGTACGCAAAAGTCACAGGCTGCAAAATGGATGAGTTATAGTCAGATGAAACAATCGTTAATGAAAATGAGAAAACACTGCAGCCCAGATCTAAAAAATAACATTAAAACTATGGGTTGAAAAGCCCACACGCATGCAGTGCGTGTGGAGAGAAGAGAGCAGATGGGTACCCGAAGCTGCTGCTACGCTGGAAGTCTGGGATGGTGTCCATGGGCTGAAAATAAGATGAGTGATAGACATGGGAGGAATGAGGAGAGGTGGAGTGTAAGGAGGAGGAGGAGGAGTGGAAGTGGGAGGAGAGGGGCTGACGGTAGGAAAGAGGTGGGGAGGAGGAGCAGATGATCGAGGGGTGCGAGACAGCCGAGGACAAGGGAGGCAGGGGGAGAGCCTCAAACTGTTGGAAGGACTGGTTGTGTGACTGTTGAAGGGGGGCCCTAGACCTGGATAGGTAGGAGGTACTGTCTCCCTGCTGCCCCGCCAACAGGCAGGTCTCTACCAACCTCTGGGAGCCCATGGCCAGCTGGGAGTCCATGTGGCGCTGACGTAGGGACATCATACTGGGAGCTGTAGCGACAACACAGAACACCACCATTATCAACAACCACTCTCTGATTATACACACACACACAACACAACACAGGGTGAGGGACAAGAGTAGGCTGGAATTAGACTGGGAGGGCACTAGCAGTAGACATGGGTGTTTGAGACATTTCAGTACTGAATTAGTGTTGTTGACCTCGGTGTTGAGCAGTTCAGTAATGTTTGGTTGAGAGAAATGCATGTGATGGATGCAAAATATCTGATGTTCAAACACCTGGGCCTTAGCTATGCTTAGCTGGTGAGAAGTTTGGCTGGTGTCTGGTGAGAAGTTTGGCTGGTGTCTGGTGAGGAGTTTTTGCAGGGGGGTCAAAAGTGAAATCTTTCATCATAACCAACCCTTCCCCCTTCATTGTAGATCATTATTTGTAAAAGCAGACAGTGCCAGTATGTTGTGAGGGTGTCTAAGAACAGTCACTGGTGAGTGGAAGAGTGCTCTGGGTGATGCGGAAGAAGAGGAGGATCAGGCTGAGGAAGAAGAGCAAGTCATTGGACAGCTGGAGACAGTACGGCCAGGGGTACGTGGACGCAGCGTGGAGAGTTTGCCTTTTCAATCTACAGGCCCTGCCCCAGACCAGAGTGTTACAGCTATATCCATCTACAGGCCCTGCCCCAGACCAGAGTGTTACAGCTATATCCATCTATAGGCCCCAGACCAGAGTGTTACAGCTATATCCATCTATAGGCCCCAGACCAGAGTGTTACAGCTATATCCATATACAGGCCCCAGACCAGAGTGTTACAGCTATATCCATATACAGGCCCCAGACCAGAGTGTTACAGCTATATCCATATACAGGCCCCAGGCCAGAGTGTTACAGCTAAATCCATCTATAGGCCCCAGACCAGAGTGTTACAGCTATATCCATCTATAGGCCCCAGACCAGAGTGTTACAGCTATATCCATATACAGGCCCCAGACCAGAGTGTTACAGCTATATCCATATATAGGCCCCAGACCAGAGTGTTACAGCTATATCCATCTATAGGCCCCAGACCAGAGTGTTACAGCTATATCCATCTACAGGCCCCAGGCCAGAGTGTTACAGCTATATCCATATACAGGCCCCAGGCCAGAGTGTTACAGCTATATCCATCTATAGGCCCCAGACCAGAGTGTTACAGCTATATCCATCTATAGGCCCCAGACCAGAGTGTTACAGCTATATCCATCTATAGGCCCCAGACCAGAGTGTTACAGCTATATCCATATACAGGCCCCAGACCAGAGTGTTACAGCTATATCCATCTACAGGCCCCAGACCAGAGTGTTACAGCTATATCCATCTATAGGCCCCAGACCAGAGTGTTACAGCTATATCCATATACAGGCCCCAGACCAGAGTGTTATAGCTATATCCATCTATAGGCCCCAGACCAGAGTGTTACAGCTATATCCATCTATAGGCCCCAGACCAGAGTGTTACAGCTATATCCATATACAGGCCCCAGACCAGAGTGTTATAGCTATATCCATCTATAGGCCCCAGACCAGAGTGTTACAGCTATATCCATCTATAGGCCCCAGACCAGAGTGTTACAGCTATATCCATCTATAGGCCCCAGACCAGAGTGTTACAGCTATATCCATATACAGGCCCCAGACCAGAGTGTTATAGCTATATCCATCTATAGGCCCCAGACCAGAGTGTTACAGCTATATCCATCTACAGGCCCCAGGCCCAGTGTTACAGCTATATCCATCTACAGGCCCCAGGCCCAGAGTGTTACACCTATATCCATCTACAGGCCCCAGGCAAGAGTGTTACAGTATGTGCTCTGAGGTTTTGACAGGGGTGGGTGACTTAAGGAGAAAGAGAGATAGAGGGAGGGAGGGAGGGAGTGTTGAGGTCAGGACGAGGGGGCATGAGTAGCTAACAGGCCAACCAGAGTATTTCCTGAAGGACTGGCTGTCCGAACCCACGGACCACAGATCACTCGATCGCCGGTCCTTGAGCCAGTTGGTGTCTGGGGGTCGACCAGAGACACGAACGGCCGCCGCAGCCAAAGAGAAAGTGTTGGTGGGGGGAGAAGGGAAGTGAGGGAGGAGGGGACATGTTATTCATGTGGATTAGAAGACTTACTAGAGGACTGCAGTGACAGAGACCTAGAAGGAGACAACAGAACTAGAGCTCAGCTTACCCCTGCAGTTAGTATCAGCCCTTCTCTCTATTGGTCTGCTATAATCATAAACCAGACAGTATCAGTACTTCTCTCTGTGTTTGCTATAATCATAACCCAGACATTATCATCCCTTCTCTCTGGGTCTGCTATAATCATAACCCAGACAGTATCAGTACTTCTCTCTGTGTTTGCTATAATCATAACCCAGACATTATCATCCCTTCTCTCTGGGTCTGCTATAATCATAACCCAGACATTATCATCCCTTCTCTCTGGGTCTGCTATAATCATAACCCAGACATTATCATCCCTTCTCTCTGTGTTTGCTATAATCATAACCCAGACAGTATCAGTACTTCTCTCTGGGTCTGCTATAATGATAACCCAGACATTATCATCCCTTCTCTCTGTGTTTGCTATAATCATAACCCAGACAGTATCAGCTCTCTCTGGGTCTGCTATAATCATAACCCAGACAGTATCAGTACTTCTCTCTGGGTCTGCTATAATCATAACCCAGACATTATCATCCCTTCTCTCTGTGTTTGCTATAATCATAACCCAGACAGTATCAGCTCTCTCTGGGTCTGCTATAATCATAACCCAGACAGTATCAGTACTTCTCTCTGTGTTTGCTATAATCATAACCCAGACAGTATCAGCTCTCTCTGGGTCTGCTATAATCATAACCCAGACAGTATCAGTACTTCTCTCTGTGTTTGCTATAATCATAACCCAGACAGTATCAGCTCTCTCTGGGTCTGCTATAATCATAACCCAGATACTGCCCTGTAGAGCTTATCAGAGCTGGTTACCAGGATACCAAAGAACACGTTGATTGACTTAATATGTCAACATTATGTTACAATAAATAGAATACATTTAGGTTACCAAGACTAGCAATATAAATAAGAACTAAAGTATGTTGTTCACATCACAACTCCCTTTGAGATCCTAACTGGTTAATAAAAGCTGTAATTCTCCATTTCAAAAGAAGAAACCCTGAGTATTTCATTCCTTAGCGGCTGAAACAAGGTGATAAATGTGTACTCACTGGGGAAGGACTTGACTTAAAACACAATAGAAAGCAAAGCTCTATGTGAGGAGATAAAACTAATGGTCTTCCGGGCAGCACTACAAGGAAGACAAATGTTTTACCATTGTGCCTTCCTCTTTCCCAAAGCTAAAGCCTTATCAAGCTTATAGGAGTACTGGAGGACAATGGCCTTTGATATTGCATACTGTTGCTTCATGTTCAGTCCTATATTTCAGTCGTGTCCTAACAGCACATTCCATTGGTCATACTAGGAGACAACTGCTAAAAATAGATCAGCACAAAGATTTGGTGTCATGAAGTATGTATTTCTTCAGAGGTTCAATTTCCACAGCATGTGATATCAACATTGTTCTCGTCTCACACTCCATCCCAGAAGTGAAATTCCCATATCGAGGCAAAACTAATTTCCAAAATGGAACAAAATAAACACCCCAACCAACTGAAAACATGTATAAAAAAAAGACAGGTGAAATTACAATTCATACATTACAGATTTGCAAACACACAACACTTTTTGGGGTATTTTATTAGGATCCCCATTAGCTGTTGCGAAAGCAGCAGCTACTCTTCCTGGGGTCCATTGTTGGACTCTCAATCACAGACAAACACCCCAAATCCCTACACCAACCGGGCTGCTCATTTTAATAAATTGAGAGAATAGTTGATCAATTGTTAATGATAATATTTTGTGTCTGTATGCTAATTTTCATATGAGAGTTGACTTTTGGATTTCCCCAGGAGGCCCTTGGTGTATTTAGGGGGTCTTTTGCTACTGAGTCCCACAGCGGGGCCGAAGGAGTCGGGCGAGCCCTTACATTGCAGAGTTCCGGGCGATATGATGTCCTCGTCCATGTCGTCCATGTCATCAGACATAATGAAGTGCTGGGGCGTGGCCCGGCCGCCCATGATGCTGGGGTCAAGGTTCAGGGTGGAGGCCAGGGAGGACAGCCCAGGGTTGTTGACGATGGTGAACCCCGTCAGAATCTCAATCTGCTGCCAGCGGTGCAGCCTCTCCCTCAGAGCAGCAGTCACCTCACCCAGGGCTTGTCTGGACCGGAGGAGAGGAGAGTGAGATGGGGGGGGGGGGGGGGGGGACAGAGGAATACAAGTACAGATCACAATGTGAACAGATATAGGAGATATTGGCTTTAGACAAATCCCAATATACTGTATATGTAATTAAACTGACTTGGCTGTCAGAATTTGGTGATCCACATTGTCCAGACAGGAGCTGTGTGCCACATGGAAGGTCCCAAAGATGGTGTTCCGCTTCTTCTTGATCTTCTCTGCCTGCAGTCGCACACACGATAAAACATTACTCCCAGGTTCCGTCACCTCTGTCACACTAAGAGTCCATAGTTTCTCCTGCCACATTGTCAGAGAAATCCCCTGGCCCTACTCATTCGGTATATCTAGTCCTCATATGGCATACAGTGCGCATTCGGAAAGTATTCAGGCCCATTCCCCTTTTCCACATTTTGTTACGTTACAGCCTTATTCTAAAATGGATTAAATAAAAATGTTTCCTCATCAATCTACACACAATACCCCATAATGACAAAGTGAAAACAGGTTTTAGAAATGTTTGCAAAGGTATTACAAATAAAAAACAGAAATACCTTATTTACATAAGTATTCAGACCATTTGCTATGACACTCGAAATTGAGCTCAGGTGCATCCTGTTTCCATTGATCATTCTTGAGATGCTTCTACAACTTGTTTGGAGTCCACCTGTTGTATATTAAATTGATTGGACATAATTTGGAAAGGCACACCTGTCAATAAAAGGTCCCACAGTTGACAGTGCATGTCAGAGCAAAAATCAAGCCATGAGGTCGAAGGAATTGTCCGTAGAGCTCCGAGACAGGATTGTGTCGAGGCACAGATCTGGGGAAGGGTACCAAAACCTTTCTGCAGCATTGAAGGTCTCCAAGAACACAGTGGCCTGCATCATTCTTAAATGGAATTAGTGTGGAACCACCAAGACTCTTCCTAGAGCTGGCCGCCTGGCCAAACGGAGCAATCGGGGGAGAAGGGCCTTGGTCAGGGAGGTGACCAATAACATGATGGTCACTCTGACAGAGCTCCAGTTCCTCTGTGGAGATGGGACAACCTTCCAGAAGGACAACCATCTCTGCAGCACTCCACCAATCAGGCTTTTATGGTAGTGGCCAGACGGAAGACACTCCTCAGTAAAAGGCACATGACAGCCCACTTGGAGTTTGCCAAAATGCACCTAAAGGACTCTCAGACCATGAGAAACAAGATTCTCTGGTCTGATGAAACCAAGATTGAACTCTTCGGCCTGAATGCAAAGCGTCAAGTCTGAAGGAAACCTGGCACCATCCCTACGGTGAAGCATGGTGGTGGCAGCATCATGCTGTGGGGATGTTTTTCAGCAGCAGGGACTGGGACACTAGTCAGGATCGAGGGAAAGATGAACGGAGCAAAGTACAGAGAGATCCTCGATGAAAACCTGCTCCAGAGCACTCAGGACCTCAGACTGGGGAGAAGGTTCACCTTCTAACAGGACCATGACCCTAAGCAAACAGCCAAGACAATGTAGGAGTGACATCGGGACAAGTTTCTGAATGTCCTTGAGATGCCCAGCCAGAGCCCGGACTTTAACCTGATCTAACATCTCTGGAGATACCTGAAAATAGCTTTGCAGCGACGCTCCCCATCCAACCTGACAGAGCTCGAGAGGATCTGCAGAGGAGAATGGGAGAAACTCCCCAAATACAGGTATGCCAAGCTTGTAGCGTCATACCCAAGAAGACTCGACGCTGTAATCGCTGCCAAAGGTGCTTCAACAAAGTACTGAGTAAAGGGTCTGAATACTTATGTAAATGTGATTTCAGTTTTTTATTTGTAATAAATGAGCACCAAAAAAATCTACAAAACTGTTTCTGCTTTGTCATTATTGGGTATTGTGTGTAGATTAATGAGGGGGAAAAAACAATGTAATCCATTTTAGAATAAGGCTGTAACGTAACAAAATCTGGAAAAAGTAAAGGGGTCTGAATACTTTCTGAATTCTAGTCCTCATACGGTATATCTAGTTCTGTGGCGTCTCACCCCTTCTTTAGCCACCAGCAGCTGCTTCTCAGCGTTCTGCTTCTTGATGTTATAGTACTGCACCTCCACCTCATGGGTGAGCTGCAGCCACTTCTGGAGGGACTCTGGTGGGGACCAGCTGCAGCGAGACTCCAGCTCCTTCTCTGCCTTCTTGAGGGCCATGCGCACCTGCAGCGCACACACACGAAGTCAACATACAGCACATAACTTCTTATGACTCAATACAGCAGCGAAAGGAACACACCAAAGTCTACACGTTAAGGTCAAAGTCCAACACACAAGTTGTGTATTTAGCACAAATGTGTCATTCCCACACTGTGACAAGTCTCTCTGGACCATGGTGTGAACATGGATGTGGAGGTGGGGGATGGGAGAGGGAAATGTGATCCCATTGGCTCATGAAAGCTAGCGCGGTCTGTCTCCAGACAACTCATTAAGAGCTGTGCAAATGAGCCCAGAGCCACCCAGCTGCCCTTTGACTCAATCAATGCCAAGCCTTAATGGAGCAGCACTGGGCCAGCCAGGGGAGCAGGGGGCCTGCAAGCCATATGCACAGGGAGAGTTAAGGCTGTATATGGGGCCATGTGACATCAGAGTGGTTCTCTTTTCTGATCAGGCAGGTATGAGGGCTGACCTGGTTTGACCTCCACTGGGACCCGACAACAAGAGAACAGGCCTCCAGAGAAACCCTCCAGATGAAATGAGCATTCCAAATCCTCTGAAGAACTAGGCCATGTTTTTGGGTGAGGTGCAATGGGCCCTGCCTGCAGTCAGGAGCTGTGAATCTAATTGTTATGTCATATGAAAGCATTCAGAGCTGGATTCAAAATATTCTCTAGCTGATTCTGTGTGAAAATGGAAGAAGAATATTAATGCACTTTTAGATTTTCCTGAAATTTAGCACAGTGGTTCCTATTGCAGGAACATTTTAAAATCATCCTCTTCCTAGGCATGCATGCTGAAAAGACTAAAAGGAGGGATATTGAGAACTGAAATCAGATAAAGGAGTGACTATTGCTTCCTCCAGCAGACTGCAGTGTGTTCTCAGGAGACCATAGTGATAGTAGTGGATTGATGAGAGAGTACACAACGTGAGCCCTCTGCTCACCTGCCCTGTGTGGGCCGACCGCTGCTTCTTTTCCTGCCATTTCCCTGATGGGCAAAGAGCTGAGTGGGAGTTAAGCCTACTGATCCCATTCGGCATCTAATCCATCTAAATCTAGAATATAGACTGGTTAACAGGGTTCAGTCAGTTGGAGTGTCTCTCCTCTCGGGCTTTACTCTACAGGTTCTTGTTACACGCCTTGTTTCTCAACAAGAATCCCACTAGACTAATTCTCCCTCTCTCATCCACATGCATTTGTTCTCCACCCCTGTCCCTCTCCAAAGTGGTACAGTCCAGTACCTGGTCCAGCTCCTCCTCTGCATATTTCTGCCTACTCAGCTCGTTCTCGGTGCCCTCACGGAGCCCCTTGAGCCGCTGGGCCTCCTGCTTGGCACAGTTGATCTCATCCCTCAGCTTCTGTTCCAGGTTCACCTTCTCCACCTCCACTGTACGGTGCTCCTCCTGGGCTATCTGCAGCCTGAGGGAGGGAGCGAGAGAGATTGTGAGCGAGAGAGAGACAGAGAGCGCGCGAGGGAGACAGAGAGCGCGCGAGGGAGACAGAGAGCGTGCGAGGGAGACAGAGAGCGTGCGAGGGAGACAGAGAGCGCGCGAGGGAGACAGAGAGCGCAAGGGAGACAGAGAGCGCGAGAGACCATGAGAGAGCGAGAGCGAAAGCATGAGCGCGAGCGTGAGAGAGAGCGAGCAAGAGAGAGTCAGACAAGGAAAAGCATGAGATGTAATCTGTTATTTTCCTGATCACATGGCATGACCAGGAAGAATTATGGGGACATGTTACAGGTGCTAGTAATCAGTGACTCAGCAATGACAGGGGCAAACAATAGAAGTGCCTGTATCATTTTACTACTAGATGCCAGGGAGACTGGCATGTCCACATAGCATCCTCCAACCAGCTGTCCTTGGACCTTGGTGCTCCTGGCTATAAAGAATGACCACTATAGAGCCCAAGGAAGCCAGGGATCCATCACTGGAGAGCTACGAGTCTCTGTCGTCCTCTGATTTATGTGCTACATGTAGTTGAGATTCCCTGGGCAGACATAAAGACATGGTTTGTTTTACAGGCAGGGTCCAGTTTCAAGAGCTAGCTGGAAGTACACCGACTCCAGCAGCCTGTTGCCTTGTAACCATCTCTACATTAAAAACAGTTCAGCACTAGTTTGTAGTTCCGGACTGTAAGCCTATCACGGTAATTTCCACGCTTCCTTGACATTTTACGCACAACTGAACAGACATTCTTGAAAAACAACAAAATAACTTAAATGCGTTATTCTGTGAAACTAAAGCAACGAAGAGCACAGATTACGCAGTCAAGCGAGTGTCTACTCGCTCAGTAGACAATTCCATTAGACTTAACACCAGCCCTAGAATGAGGGGCTTGCATCTTTCAGTATGTGGCTGAAAACAATGACGAACGTGTAGAGGGCAGAGGGCAGCTGTCAGAGAGCTTGGCCAGGCCAGGAATGGGGCCCCAGTTGTGACAGAGCCCAGTACTCTATGGCCTTCCTGTGTTGGGATTATTGTGCTCTTCTTCTTCCACAGCAGAATGAGAATGTACTGCATTACCATCGTAGACATGTGGTCCTCAGTGCCTCAGACATGACTATATAAAAGACCAACAAGGAGTCCATTTGTGGGATGGCTGGCTTTGTCATGCTGGCCTAGTACCGCGTCATGTCACACTATCCTGTGAGGTCTGTCACAAGACCACAGTTCAAAACACACAGAGGGCCCACAGGGAGAGATAGGACTGTAGATATTCATGTAATCCACCAGGAGAGATAGGACTGTAGATATTCATGTGATCCACCAGGAGAGATAGGACTGTAGATATTCATGTAATCCACCAGGAGAGATAGGACTGTAGATATTCATGTGATCCACCAGGAGAGATAGGACTGTAGATATTCATGTGATCCACCAGGAGAGATAGGACTGTAGATATTAATGTAATCCACCAGGAGAGATAGGACTGTAGATATTCATGTGATCCACCAGGAGAGATAGGACTGTAGATATTCATGTAATCCACCAGGAGAGCTAGGACTGTAGATATTCATGTGATCCACCAGGAGAGATAGGACTGTAGATATTCATGTAATCCACCAGGAGAGATAGGACTGTAGATATTTATGTAATCCACCAGGAGAGATAGGACTGTAGATATTCATGTGATCCACCAGGAGAGATAGGACTGTAGATATTCATGTGATCCACCAGGAGAGATAGGACTGTAGATATTCATGTAATCCACCAGGAGAGCTAGGACTGTAGATATTCATGTGATCCACCAGGAGAGATAGGACTGTAGATATTCATGTGATCCACCAGGAGAGATAGGACTGTAGATATTCATGTAATCCACCAGGAGAGCTAGGACTGTAGATATTCATGTGATCCACCAGGAGAGATAGGACTGTAGATATTTATGTAATCCACAGAGAGACTGCTTTATCTTGTATACAGCCTAGGCTGCTATGTTTTAAAGAGATCACATCATATGTTTGAGATGATCAATATCTGATCAGAATTGGTGCATTGAAATTATGAACAGCATTTCAATTGATATAAATTAACCTGAATCCATGGAGTATCCGCATGAGTTACAAAATCTATCAGTAAGTCTGAGAACAGGTTTTACAGGGCGTGAGTTGAGGTTGAGAGAATGCTGTTTTACACCACCAGAGAGCAGCCTCCTCCCACCCGAGGTAGAGGTGGCAGAGAGCTGCAGTCAAGAGTAGCCTGACCAATCACCCTGAATTTAATACCGCTGCTCTATTGATCGCTACATACATTCAGTCTGAATCTGCCATCCTACATGTTGTTTGTGTGACTTCATTTCAAAATGAGGGGAGCGTTATGCAAAACAAATTCATCAGCGATTCGATCGTCTAACAAATCTAACCAGAGAGTTGAAGTTGAAAACGTCATCATGTAAGGTTGGCTCTGGCCCAACCCATCGGTTTCTGGGACCAATCAGAATGGTCAGAATGTGTTGCACATTCTAGAAATTGTCAGGGAGGCAAATCCAGACCAATCATGGAGAAGATGTGGATGGGTAGCTAGGCAACAGTGAAAGGTGATCCAGGGATCTGAGGATGGAACGTGGGCAGTGGGCCTTCTCACTAACGCTCTGACCATTCACTAGCCACAGCTCCAGCAGCAACAACGGCAGGGCAGGCAGAACAATGCGGACTCTCAGCCCCACAGCACCGCACTGCAGGGTCCAACAAAGGACTTATGTACTGTACAAGCGAACATCATCAAAGCCTATTTGCAGCACCAGCTCAGCACCTCCAGGCTGACTGGGCTGGTATAGATTTTCATGAATAGCATTCCTATGAGTGAGACTAGTTTTAAATCAATGTCATTTATGAGCAACTGGAATATGAGCAGCAGCAGTAGAATGTGGATATATATACACACACACACACGTTTATACAACGGGTGGGTCTAATCCTGAATGCTGATTGCTTAAAACCGCATTCCAGCCGGTGTCTTTTCCACAAGTTACCACCGGCTAAATCTAAGACGTTAAAATGCCCATTTACTCGGTTCCATCTGACTGCGCAATCCACTGTCTCATCAGCCCAGCCAGGCAATTTATAAACTTTATCTTCACTATAAAAAAGCATCTAGACATTATCTCACATTTATTTTAGACTAACATTTAGTTTAACAGCGGAGATTTGTATAAACCTTGCTGTCTGTCTCTCCGACATTTGCAACATTGTTCTTATATTTAAATTTGATCTCCAGCTGTCCCGTAGTAATGAACGTGTTGGGAGTAGTGACGAGACAGACAGTCAGCGTTTCTCAGCCAGTCTAAATCATGGATCAACTGGCATAATTCGGAAAGTATTCAGACCCCTTCACTTTTTCCACATTTTTTTACGTCACAGCCTTATTCTAAAGTGGATTATGTTATTTTTTTTGTTCATTAATCTACACACAATTCCCCATAATGACAAAGCAAAAACAGTTTTTTAGAAATTTTTGCAAATTAATAAAAAATAAAAAACTGAAATATCACATTTACATAAGTATTCAGACCCTTTACTCAGTACTTTGTTGAAGCACCTTTGGCAGCGATTACAGTCTCGAGTCTTCTTGGGTATGACGCTACAAGCTTGGCACACCTGTATTTGGGGAGTTTCTCCCTTTCTTCTCTCCATTTTAGGATAGGCTGTAACAACTTAGGGGACGGTTTGGCTGGGGGGGTTTTACATGGCTCATCGCGCTCTAGCGACTCCTTGTGGCGGGCCGGGTGCCTGCAGGCTGACCTCGGTCATCAGTTGAACGGTGTTTCCCCCGACACATTGGTGCAGCTGGCTTCTGGGTTAAGCGGGCTGGTGTTAAAAATCGCGGTTAGGCTTTTCATGTTTCGGAGGACGCATGACTCGACCTTCGCCTCCTGAGCCCGTTGGGGAATTGCAGCGATGAGACAAGATCGAAATTGGGGAGAAAAAGGGGTTTAAATAAAAACAATTGTAAATAAAATAAAAGATGTAACATAACAAAATATGGAAAAAGTGAAGGGGTCTGAATACAAAGAAATGTCAATTCAAAAAAGGTCAAACAAAACGAAGTGCAGCTAGTTTGCAGTCTTTCCAGCTTCAGTTTGAAGTGATTGATTGTGATTGTGCGGTTGGCTAGCTCCTCTGAACAACAGTGTCCTGACAAGTGAGCACATTTTCTATGCCAGGCGAAATCGCGCCTCATTAGCTCATTGTTATGGATGTATCCAAATAATTCTCATTGGAAAACAGCTTAAACAAATGCAAATGCAGCTACTTTGCTGTTATTCTGGCTACACTATTTGACGTGACTGTAAGTTAGCTGTAGTTGGCTAGCTAGCAAGCAAGGGTTAAGAATATTGCCAGCCAGTATGGTAATGGTACATTTAGAATAAACGACTGGATCTATAGATACAGAACAAAAAGACTGAATGACTGGGTCGCGTCTCTGGCAAAGGAACCGATAGAACGGACGACCAGCCGGCTTGGATAGCAACCCTAGATTTGTGTCGGGACTATATCTTGTGGAAGGATGAAATAGTATGAATAAATTAATCAAAATAACGTTTTTAATGAAAATATGTCAATCATTATTTGAATATGTTGGTAACCCATTGTATAAAAGTGATAATGCCCTCGAAGCCGGTGTTTGGAGGATACATTAGCACAGTTTACCTATCCAGAGTCATATATAGGAGGTGTATGAGCGTAATATCCATCAACCATGTCATTTATTGATCCTGTTTAGTAGAGACCTGTCCTTGTCCTGCATACAGCACACCCACTACACCACACCTCCGTCCACATGGGAGTGCGTAAGCGGTGGAGGTGACATGTAAAGCGTGTAAAGAGGTACCGCCTGGCACCAGCTGGTGTTGTTAAAAGGCACCCAGAGTAAACACAAGGTGAAATAGGCCTACAGCTCCTGGGAGAGCCCCCCCCCCCCCACCCTACCTCTGTCCACCCTCAGTTAAAACGGAAGTCTGAGGCTTGGGCCAGGCGATTTTGATCCGGCCACAGGATCTCCCTTGAAGGTCTGGCCAGACAGCAGCTGGCAGCAAGGATCAGGAAGCAGGCACGGCTAAAAGACACAGAGGACATGACCCCTCTCCCCAGCTCCCCGGGAGAGCACAAGAGACATGCCAGCCTGTCCACCCAGTCACACCAAGTCACACCGTCTTGCATGTTCTCTTCCCCTGCCTCCATTACAGGGCTCACATAGGAGACATGCTGACCTGTCCCACCACTCCCACACAGTCAGTCTGTATGCTCCCATTCACTGTTACAGTAACAAGTGTTTAACAGGAGGGTAGCAGGCATCTCAATGTCAATGGAACTGTCAATGCTCTGGTTTGCTCTGGAATAACAACTGTAGACGAAGGTCTATAACCCCATAGGTAAAACCACAAAACAGCAACAATACAAAACTGCACGCACATTACCTAGTATGCATGAGCTATCGCAATGCCTCTGAAAATATATATACAGTGGCTTGCGAAAGTATTCGCCCCCCTTGGCATTTTTCCTATTTTGTTGCCTTACAACCTGGAATTAAAATAGATTTTTGGGGGGTTTGTATCATTTGATTTACACAACATGCCTACCACTTTAAAGATCCAAAATATGTTTTTTGTGTGACACAAACAAGAAATAAGACAGGAAAACAGAAAACTTGAGTGTGCATAACTATTCACCCCCCCAAAGTCAATACTTTGTAGAGCCACCTTTTGCAGCAATTACAGCTGCAAGTCCCTTGGGGTATGTCTCTATAAGCTTAGCACATCTAGCCACTGGGATTTGTGCCCATTCTTCAAGGCAAAACTGCTCCAGCTCCTTCAAGTTGGATGGGTTCCGCTGGTGTACAGCAATCTTTAAGTCATACCACAGATTCTCAATTGGATTGAGATCTGGGCTTTGACTAGGCCATTCCAAGACATTTAAATGTTTCCGCTAAAACCACTCAAGTGTTGCTTTAGCAGTATGCTTAGGTTCATTGTCCTGCTGGAAGGTGAACCTCCGTCCCAGTCTCAAATCTGTGGAAGACTGAAACAGGTTTCCCTCAACAATTTCCCTGTATTTAGCGCCATCCATCATTCCTTCAATTCTGACCAGTTTCCCAGTCCCTGCCAATGAAAAACATCCCCACAGCATGATGCTGCCACCACCATGCTTCACTGTGGGGATGGTGTTCTCGGGGTGATGAGAGGTGTTGGATTTGTGCCAGACATTGCGTTTTCCTTGATGGCCAAAAAGCTCAATTTTAGTCTCATCTGACCAGAGTAACTTCTTCCATATGTTTGGGGAGTCTCCCACATGGCTTTTGGCGGACACCAAACGTGTTAGCTTTTTTTTTCTGGCAACTCATCCGTAAAGCCCAGCTCTGTGGAGTGTACGGCTTAAAGTGGTCCTATGGACAGATACTCCAAATCTCCGCTGTGGAGCTTTGCAGCTCCTTCAGGGTTATCTTTGGTCTCTTTGTTGCCGCTCTGATTAATGCCCTCCTTGCCTGGTCCGTGAGTTTTGGTGGGCGGCCCTCTCTTGGCAGCTTTGTTGTGGTGCCATATTCTTCAATTTTTTATAATGGATTTAAAATGGTGCTCCGTGGGATGTTCAAAGTTTCTGATATTTTCTTATAACCCAACCCTGATCTGTACTTCTCCACAACTTTGTCCCTGACCTGTTTGGAGATCTCCTTGGTCTTCATGGTGCCGCTTGCTTGGTGGTGCCCCTTGCTTAGTGGTGTTGCAGACTCTGGGGCCTTTCAGAACAGGTGTATATATACACTGAGATCATGTGACAGATCATGTGACACTTAAATAAAGTCCACCTGTGTGCAATTCTAACTAATTATGTGACTTCTGAAGGTAATTGGTTGCACCAGATCTTATTTAGGGGCTTCATACATATGCACGCACCACTTTTCCGTTAGTTATGTTTTTCATTTCACTTCACCAATTTGAACTATTTTGTGTATGTCCATTACATGAAATCCAAATAAAAATCCATTTAAATTACAGGTTGTATTGCAACAAAATAGGAAAAATGCCAAGGGGGATGAATACTTTTGCAAGGCACTGTATATCTAATTGGCACTTCACATTATTGTGCTTTATAAGAAACAACTGTCACTACGTGTTTCAGAGAGTTGCAGCAGAGCGGTTGTATATCCCCAGCCTCATCTGAATGTCCCACAGCAGGAGATGAGATAGATTTAAACACAGACGACATTGTGGCGTGGCGTGAGGAATTGCAGAGATGTTTTACTATCACAGTGAATGAACGGGGCGGGCATTACTAACCCCTGTACCCAACTGGCAGGATATGATATACAAAGTTTCTGTCTGGGGAGAGAGGGACGTCAATAGAGGCATAACATGACTCTGTTCCAAGGCCGCTCTCCTCTCAGCACAGCAGAGGACACAGCCCCGGTAATGCTCTCTGCTAGCAAGGCTATGGAACACACACAGGACACCCCATGCAGAATCAATGACCTGGTAGCAAGGACAGCAGATTGTGGCTAGGCTAGGTTGGTGGATTAGTAGGCCTACATTTCAGGAGGTTGGTGACACCTTAATTGGGGAGGACAAGCTTGGCTGGAGTGGAATAAGTAGAACGGTATCAAATACAAACACATGGTTTCCAGGTGTTTGACGCCATTCCATTTGCTCCATTCCGGACATTTTTATGAGCTGTCCTCCAGTCAGCATCCTCCTGTGGCCTACATCAAGGACACTCACTGTAGGAGTCAGCTAGTTGTAGTGGGAATGTGTGTCAAGGATAAGAGGCCTAGATACTCTGTGTGTACGAGTCAGCATGACTGAGCCATAAATGAGCAGGAGGATGTGAAAATGATCCACCTCCATAATGCCGTAAGAAAGCATGGATATAGTCAGTGCTAATGGCAGAAATGACAAGGCAAGAGACTACAGTAGGGTCGGGCTTAGCTAGAAAGCCATCCAAATGCATAGCTGGAGCCCTGAGCTGGATATAATTTATTTGACATATCTTAGATTTCTTATAGTTATACGTAACTTGTAGTTATAACCAGTGGCGTAGCACTTTTTAAAACAGTATTGAAAATCGTGCCGTCTGTATTTCTAAATACCCCGGTATACGGTATATCAACCAAACCTAGACTGCACCATTAAAAAGGGGAGGACAGCCAGGCAGTCTGTCTGCCAGGGGAAAGAGCTGGAGCCTACTGTCAGGGGAAAGAGTTGCACCCTCCTGCCAGGGGAAAAAGAGTTGCACCCTCCTGCCAGGGGAAAAAGAGTTGCACCCTCCTTCCAGGGGAAAAAGAGTTGCACCCTCCTTCCAGGGGAAAAAAGAGTGTAACCCTCCTGCCAGGGGAAAAGAGTGTGACCCTCCTTCCAGGGGAAAAAAAGAGTGTGACCCTCCTGCCAGGGGAAAAGAGTGTGAACCTCCTGGCTTGTCCCCATGCCATGGAACGGGGAATGAGCCTGTTGGTCTGTATTCAACAGGCTCACTACACTGTACTGCGAGACATACTTCCTGCTCCCCTGTCACGACACACAAACACCCAACCAAAGCAGCTGTGCGGGGTACTATAATACTAGCGGGAGACAGTCGTGATACTGTAGTGACAGGACCAGGACAGAGGCCAGAGAGAGAGGGCCACAGAGGAGGAAGGGGAGTTGAGCTCTACTTCCACTAGACCCCAATGGGAGAATTCAAAGACTTCAGTTTCTCTCTCTGAGCCAAACCACAAACATATGCTAGCTCAGATTTCAAAAGGTGTTTGCAGAATAATCATTAAAAAAACAAAAATCCATGGACAGTTGACACCAAGTCCCTCTTGTGATCAGCTGTGAGACTTAGTTCAGATGAAATTCATTGCTGTTCCATAGAGATCACTGCTGTTCCATAGATTTTTTGTCCTCTCACGTAATGACTGCAGCAAAAGTTTGGACCCCAGGAAGAGTAGCCGCTGCAGCAGCTAATTGGGGATCCTAATAAACACAAAATCTCTAGAATGAGGAACTCAACTGATGGCCTCAGAACAGTGAAACCTCCGCCTCCTGTTTCTGTTGCATCATGGATTGGCCTCCCAACATGACAAACCTGAAAACGTGTTGAAGCTGCTAATTCCTGACAAAATGGACACTGACTGTCCCCAAATTTGTATCACGACATCAAACCAATATGATTCACCTGCTAATGAAGCAGGCCTAATAGAAAGTAGAAAGCCTAGATTAGTACCAAAAACAACAACAGCATGGAACTGGCTGATACTATGAAACACCAGCAGAAAAATGAGGCTCCATTAGAATTTTAGAAAGACATAACACAGTCAGTCACTCTAATTCTATGGGCTTACATGGGCCTGCTTCCTCCTGGTACAGTGGCTGAAGGGAAAGACAAACTCACTTCTTCTGTAGATCATGCAGACTCTGTTCAGCCCTCTGTAGGCCATCCAAGTCCGTCATCATCTTCTTCATGTGGTCCTTGGAGTAGCGGTTCTGGATGTAGGCGAACCAGCAGCCTCCAATGCCCATCACTATGGAAACCACCAGCATGAAGTCCTTCAGGTGGTTATGTCTGTTCACTGGGGAGAGACAGAAGTGTTAGGTTAAAGGGATACTTCAGGATTCTGGCAATGAAGCCCTTTATCTACTTCCCCTAGCATTAGCGCAATGACTAGAAGTCTATGGTAACTGCTAGCATGCAAGTAGATACCATAGACTTCCAGTTATTGCGCTGACGCTAGTTAGCATTGGCTCGCAAAACTACCTCCAACTTCCTTCATATTGGATGCAGACACAAAATGGTATCCATGAGTTCATCTGACTCTGAGGAAGTAGATAAAGGGCTTCATTGCCAAAATCCTGAAGTATCCCTTTAAAAGAATAGTACACATTGTACGACAGTAACATTTTCCTGATTGTCCCTTCATCCAGAAAACTCATTGGTGGTGAACTAATGATGTGAAAGTGTGAAAGTGAATGAATTGATGTCATGGTACTGTACTGTGGCGAGGTCTCTCCAATAGAGATGTGTGGTAGTAGTGGGTTGAGTTGAGGAGGCACCAGGCCAAAAGACCAGGATAAAGGCAGATGAACACACTATGTACAGTCTGCTAACAGACGCTGATGAACAACACGTCGAGAACACGAGGGCATGGGAGTTTACATTTACATGAGGTGACGAATCAAACCCCCGGCCCGGACAGCCACTGTCTCACACTTCCTGTCCTCTGGGCGAGCGGCTCAGCCCGGGTAGTGAGGTGTGAACGTCCTCTGGGGGGGGGGCTCGGCCCGGGTAGAAGTGTGAATGTCCTCTGTCATAATGTAGCCATCCTAAGGGATTCAGAACAGTCCCATTCCTCAGTCACCACCAGCACGTCAGCCAGCCAGGCAGGCAGCAACTAACCCTCATGTAAAATGAGCCACAAGGCCATAAACATGATCCAGCATCCTTAAAGCACAGAGAGACAGAGGATTACAAAACCCGTTCTCTTAAAAGCTGTGAAGGCGAGCCGCCGTAGGGCCTGGAAAGGGATAAGATCTACGCAAACACATAGCATAACCTCTTAGCAAACACAGCACTTATGTCCTGGAGTGAAACAAGAGAGGAAGTGGAGCTAAGTGTCCGCTAAAGCCTGGGCCTGGCATGTCTCTTTACAGGCTCATAGAGGGCGTGCCAACTTACAGACAAGCCTTACACACTAAGCTCTCTCTGGCTGTTACTGACATGGAACAAAGACCTCCCTCCGCCTCACAGAAAAACAACCTCCCCCTGACACAAGGCTCCCTTTCATGTCACCGACATTGAGTATTGATGTAGGGTGATGTGCTCATCATTAGGCCGGCAATGTTTGCTTGCCCTCTGTCATCAGTCAAGAGCTCTGTGTGGGCTCTTGCAGTCTTGCCTACAAAATCCTAGTACAAACACAGTTGGCCATTGACAGTGGAAATTGGCCGGATAGCGGTGTACATTTATGACTACACTGGAGTCAGACCAACGATACAGCAACCAGGAAAACAATACGAGGGGGAACTAGCTTGGCTATAAAGCTCTAGGGCAGGGGTCCGTGGGCATATTTTTCCATGTGCGGATGGTCGTGGGGCCGGAACATAGTTATAAATACACTGCAAATTGACCGCAAGAATCCCAAACAGATACGGTATTTGACAAAAACAGAATCATTTCAAATAAGGTCAGGGCTCTGTGCAGGCCAGTCAAGTTATTCCAAACCAATCTCGACAACCCATTTCTGTATGGACCTCGCTTTGTGACCGGGGGCATTTTCATGCTGAAACAAGAAAGAGCCTTCCCCAAACTGTTGCCACAAAGTTGGGAGCACAGAATCGTCTAGAATGTAATTGCATGCTGAAGAGTTAAGATTTCCTTTCACTGGAACTAAAGGGCCTAGACCGAACCATGAAAAACAGCACCAAACCATTATTCCTCCTCTACCAAACTTTACAGTTGGCACTATGCATTCAGGCAGGTAGCGTTCTCCTGGCATCCGCCAAAACCAGATTAATCCGTCGGACTGCCAGATGGCGAAGCGTGATTCATCATTCCAGAGAACGCGTTTCCACTGCTCCAGAGTCCAATGGTGGCAGGCTTTACACCACTCCAGAAATGTTTTTCTATAGAGATTGCATGGCTGTGTGCTCGATTTTATATACTTGTCAGCAACGGGTGTGTCTGAAATAGACAAACCCTCTAATTTGAAGAGGTGTCCACATACTTTTGTAAATACAGTACCAGTCAAAAGTTTGGACACACCTACTCATTCCAGGGTTTTTCCTTTATTTTTACTATTTTCTACATTGTAGAATAATAGTGAAGACATCAAAACTATTAAATAACACATGGAATATAGTAACCAAAAAAGTATAAAACAAATCAAAATATTTTATATTTGAGATTCTTCAAAGTAGCCACCCTTTGCCTTGATGGCAGCTTTGCACACTCTTGGCATTCTCTCAACTAGCTGCACCTGAAATGCATTTCCAACAGTCTTGAAGGAGTTCCCACATATGTTCAGCACTTGTTGGCTGCTTTTCCTTCACTCTGCGGTCCAACTCATCCCAAACCATCTCAATTGGGCTGAGGACGGGTGATTGTGGAGGCCAGGTCATCTGATGCAGCACTCCATCACTCTCCTTCTTGGTCAAGTAGCCCTTACACAGCCTGGAGGTGTGTTGGGTCATTGACCTGTTGAAAAACAAATGAGAGAGTCCCACTAAGCGCAAACCAGAAGGGATGGCGTATCGCTGCAGAATGCTGTGGAAGCCATGCTGGTTAAGTGTGCCTTGAATTCTAAATAAATCACAGACAGTGTCACCAGCGAAGCACCCCCACACCATCACACCTCCTCCTCCATGCTTCACGGCGGGAACCACACATGCAGAGATCATCAGTTCACCTACTCTGCGTCTCACGAAGACACGACGGTTGGAGCCAAAAATCTCAAATTTGGACTCAACAGACCAAAGGACAGATTTCCACTGGTCTAATGTCCATTGTTTGTGTTTCTTGGCCCATGCAAGTCTCTTCTTCCTATTGGTGTCCTTTAGCAGTGATTTCTTTGCAGCAATTCGACCATGAAAACCTGATTCACGCAGTCTCCTCTGAACAGTTGATGTTGAGAGGTGTCTGTTACTTGAACTCTGTGAAGCATTTATTTGGGCTGCAATGTCTGAGGCTGGTAACTCTAATGAACTTATCCTTTGCAGCAGAGGTAACTCTGGGTCTTCCTTTCCTGTGGCAGTCCACATGAGAGCCAGTTTCATCATAGCGCTTGATGGTTTTTGCGACTGCACTTGAAGAAACGTTAAAAGTTGACATTTTTCGGATTGACTTACCTTCACGTCTTAAAGTAATGATGGACTGTTGTTTCTCTTAGCTTATTTGAGCTGTTCTTGACATAATATGGACTTGGTCTTTTACCAAATAGGGCTATGTTCTGTATACCACCCCTACCTTGTCACAACACAACTGATTGGCTAAAACACATTAAGAAGGAAATATATTCCAGAAATTAACTTTTTACAAGCCACACCTGTTAATTGAAATGCATTCCAGGTGACTACCTTATGAAGCTGGTTGAGAGAATGCCAAGAGTGTGCAAAGCTGTCATCAAGGCAAAGGGTGGCTACTTTGAAGAATCTCAAATAAAATATTTTGATTTGTTTAACACTTTTTTGGTTACTACATGATTCCATGTGTTATTTCATAGTTTTGATGTCTTCACTATTATTCTACAATGTAGAAAATAGTAAAAATAAAGAAAAACCCTGGAATGAGTAGGTGTGTCCAAACTTTTGACTGGTCTGTATAGTGTACATCAGGCCAATCATCCGTTCCCTCCCGCAGGAAAACAACTCCCTCTCGCGTTGTCATGAAATTTAATTTCAGCCTCTTCACGCTCAATTTGCCGTGGGTCTGCAGCATTAGAATACAACTCTTAATCCGTGGAAGACCAGACACTGCAGAGGAATATATTATCCTTAAGGTCATACTCCACAACTAAATCCTTTAAATCTCCTGTTGCTATAGTTTAATTACTGGTGGTCGAATACAACCATTTCAACACACACAAACATGTACCAGTAACTGCCAGCATAAAACAGGTAACTGCCAGAATAATGAAACACTTGAGTAAATGAGGGATACAATGTATATTGAAAGCAGATGATTCCACACAGGTGTGGTTCCTGACTTAATTAAGCAACTGAACATCCCATCATGCTTAGGGTCATGTGTAAAAATGCCCAGTTGCCCATTATTTCAGCTACAATGGCTAGAAGAAGAGATCTCGGTGACTTTGAAAGAGGGGTCTCAAAGGAGCATAGGGGGTTTAAAGGATGTGTGTGTGTGTCTCAGTCACCAGATCCAATTGAACACTTATGGGAGATTCTGGAGCGGCTCCTGAAACAGCTTTTTCCACCACCATCAACACCAAATGGTGGAATTTCTCATGGAAAAATGGCGTCACATCCCACCAATAGAGTTCAAGACACTTGTAGAATATATGCCAAGGCGCATTGAAGCTGTTCTGGTGGCTGTTCTGGCGACCCCTTGAAATTTTCCACATTTTGTTAGGTTACAGCCGTATCCAAAAATGTATAGAAATTCCACACACAATACCCCATAATGACAAAGCAAAAACATTTTTGAAATACTTGCTAATTTATCAAAATACAAAAAACTGAAATATCACATTTACATAAGTATTCAGACCCTTTACTCAATACTTTGTTGAAGCACCTTTGGCAGCGATTACAGCCTCCAGTCTTCTTGGGTATGACGCTACGAGCTTGGCACACCTGTATTTGGGGAGTTTCTCCCATTCTTCTCTGCAGATCAACTCAAGCTCTGTCAGGTTGGATGGGGAGCGTTGCTGCACAGCTATTTTCAGGTCTCTCCAGAGATGTTCGATGCTGCAGAATGTTTTTGGTACCCTTCACCAGATCTGTGCTTCGACACAATCCTGTCTCGGAGCTCTACGGACAATTCCGTGGTTTTGGCTCTGACATGCACTGTCAACTGTGGGACCTTATAGACAGGTGTGTGCCTTTCCAAATCATTTCCAAGCAATTTAATTTGCCACAGGTGGACTCCAATCAAGTTGTAGAAACATCTCAAGGACGATCAATGGAAACAGGATGCACCTGAGCTCAATTTTGAGTCTCATAGCAAATGATCTGAATACTTATGTAAATAAGCTATTTCTGTTTTTTATTTGTAATAAGTTTGCAAAACTTTCAAAAAAACTTGTTTTTGCTTTGTCATTATGGGGTATTGTGTGTAGATTGCTGAGGATGTTTTTATTTATTTAATCAATTTTAGAATAAGGCTGTAACGTAACAAAATGTGGAAAAAGTCAAGTGGTCTGAATACTTTCCGAATGCACTGTACATGTAGGTCTTTTTCTCTAGCTAACACATTCCATTAGCTTTTTCTTTCTCTGAAAACACGTCGCTGATTAGCAGGAATGTTGGCTAGAAAGTCCAAAGTGACATGTTTAACTGACCATTAGACTGGGAATGACTTGGCTCAAATCTGTATTTTTATGTTATCCTTCAGGTGAACACTACAGTTGCATGTAATAAGTTGTAAACAGCGCTATGGAATGGTTCCCCTTTGGTAAATGTGTCAGCCATTAAGACAAGATAAGGAGAAGTGTCCATTTCTGATGTGGCCCATTGTGAAAGGTGTCTTAAAATGCTGCTAGTGTGCACAGACAGTCTGTGTGACTATCAGCAGGACCTGTGGCTTTCTGCCCGGGGCTGTCATGTCCAGACGACCCCCTCTCTTCCTCCAGCTGAGACTCTTCACTAAACACACACAATGACACATGCCAGACACAGACCCCTAACTCTCCCTTATCCTGCTGCTGCTGCTGCAACCTCTAGTATGGAGAGCAGAGCAGACAGAACTTCAAGGCCAGAGGAAGCCCAAGGCGACATTAATATTCTGGTTTCCTTACATAACTTAATCACGGATTCTTGTTCTACACCCAAAAATAGAAAACTGAAACCTGGAAAAACTTGGGAGAAAAAAAAAGTGGAGGGCCCAACACCACCCTCCACACACACAATCAGTCTGTGGTGCAACCCCAGAATGTGAGCCATCAGGTTCTCCGTCCCTGGTACGATTCCCAGGAACCACCTTGTCTGATGGTGACATTCCATCAGCAGGATCTCCCAAGTCCCAGCACCAGTCTGACAGGGTATGACCAACAGAATGCCATACATTTACAGTAGGAAAACAATGGGGGAAACTGGTGTAACTACAGTACCAACCACTGATACAGCAGGAGCCTCTGGGGACTAGAGATTCATGCTGCAACAGGCTGAAATATGTCACTGTGAGATAGCTGGCAGGAACCTAGTGCTGTGTTCTTCCTGCTTAACCAGGCCCAGGGTTGCTGTAGGAAGGACTGATCATGCTCCACATAACTAGAACGGACATGTTCTGTTTCCTATCATGTCTAACGGCTTTCACACAGTGCAGGTCCTTTTAAAACTCCATTACTGGTATGACTTAGCGCCAGGTTAGGACATGCACCTCGTTAATGCAAGTGTGCACCAGCAAGAGACCGTGGTTTGGTTAGCGATGTTCCTGTAGCGCTCATGTGATTGCAGAGTTTGCAAACCAAAATGGCCACTGGATTTATGAAAATAATCCAGGTAGGCATTGGCTACTTTATAGTTAACATTTAATTGAGAAGGTTTTTGGGAAAGCCTTTCCATCTCTACTAGAAAAAGGTTATCATAAGCATCATCGCTAGCAGCTACATAAATTGTAGACATACGTGCACACAGACAGGAGCATTCTTATGCTGTTTCAAAACGTTGCAGGAAAATACAAATCACTGATGCATTTTGTTAATGTCTTATGATGAACTTGGGAAAATTTATGAATTTTCTAATAAGTTCAATACATTTAGTTGATTTCCTACTACTTTCAGTAAAAAAAAAAAAAAAAGAGTTGAATTCCATTTTAATGTCTGTATTCTGTGATTCCATCCGCAATGCAGATTTTATAGAGGTGTGGTGTGTTTGTCTCAGTGCGCAAGACAGGTGTGATTTTATAGGGCCCTAGAGGTGTGGAGTGTTTATCTGTTAGAATATAGAGTAGCTCAGCCTGAGCATCAACTCACTTCCTCTTTAATAGTCCTGCTCTCTCTCTGCTCATTCTGGAACAGGCTGGCTTTTGGTATGGCACACACAGAGCACCACAGAAAACCTTCCTAAAGAGGGTTTCACTTCCTTTAGAGGAAAGCATGGTGGTTTCTGATTTCTGGCCTTACAGTAACCCCGGTGAACCTCATAGTTCATGTTATTTATCAACGGACAGTGTAGCAGAATTTAAATGGATCATACTGATTCACTGTGTTTTGTGCTGAAGCAAGAAGTCTGACTGCAGGTAGTCCTAGATGATTACTAGCTAAACATATAGGGGGAGGGGCTTATTTTTATTTATTGTGTGTTTTTGTTCGACCTTATGTTATTTTGAGTATTACATTGTTATTGATTACTGCATTGTTGGGTTTAGAGCTTGCGAGAAAGGAATTTCACTGTACATGTGGTGCATGTGATATTAAAACTTGAAACTTGATAAGAACTAGCATTTTCCAGCACTGCCAAGATGCTGCTTGAGACTAATGAACACAGTTTGGAGTTATTTTTTTTTTTAACCAACTGTCTCCCTTTGGAGAGACAAACAGAGCAGACACTGTTCTTCCTCTCATAATTACATTCACAAACAGTCGCATCAGAATGCAACAGCAATTCTCCTTTATCAGTCTGAATAAAAGATAAACACACTACGAACACTAATACGTCATGTAATGGAATTGTAAAGAATAATAATCCACTTACTGAGCGGGGCTCCGAACAGCACAACGTCCAGGGCCTTGAGCTGCAGCTTCTGAACATGGCTGCGATCCAGCATTTTCAGAATGGTCACCGTCAGAGTGGTGTTCTTCACAGCCAGCCTGAGGGAACAGACAGACAGATTGAGACTCTGCAGTGCAGTCACAGGAACATTGAGGAAGAGAGCGAGAACAGGAGGGTTAGTATGAAGGACCCTATGGGTTAACTTACCTGGGCATGACAGTGCCGTTGAAGTGCATCTTGCGGAAGGCGTCCACATACTGTGGCAGCTCCAAGTAGGTGAGCCACTTCTCCACATCGTCCACTGTCCAGTTGTACACTGCAATACACAAACATAATATTACCACACTATCCTTGCTTCTCAAATCTCTCTCTAAAGACCGGTTCAGATGAGCCTCAGTAATCCCCATCACTGGTTGTATGCCAACCTTGAGCCAACGCCGACCCACACACAGAGAGAGAACTGTGATTCTGCTTTATATCTTATGAGTGTCGCCGTGAGACGAGTGTATCCAGAATCCCTTAGAGTTATCCTCTATCATAACACACTGTTAAATGTAGCTACACACGTTGGCCATCTCTCAATAAAAGCCGGGGTAAGGGAGATGGGACTGGCAGGGAGTCAGCAGCAGTGTGGTGTGGGCTCAGGCTGCCTAGCTAGCCGGGTTAATGTGCTGCTGCCTAGCTAGTCGGGTTAATGTGCTGCTGCCTAGCTAGCCGGGTTAATGTGCTGCTGCCTAGCTAGCCGGGTTAATGTGCTGCTGCCTAGCTAGCCGGGTTAATGTGCTGCTGCCTAGCTAGCCGGGTTAATGTGCTGCTGCCTAGCTAGCCGGGTTAATGTGCTGCTGCCTAGCTAGCCGGGTTAATGTGCTGCTGCCTAGCTAGTCGGGTTAATGTGCTGCTGCCTAGCTAGTCGGGTTAATGTGCTGCTGCCTAGCTAGCCGGGTTAATGTGCTGCTGCCCAGCTAGCCGGGTTAATGTGCTGCTGCCTAGCTAGCCGGGTTAATGTGCTGCTGCCTAGCTAGTCGGGTTAATGTGCTGCTGCCTAGCTAGTCGGGTTAATGTGCTGCTGCCTAGCTAGCCGGGTTAATGTGCTGCTGCCTAGCTAGTCGGGTTAATGTGCTGCTGCCTAGCTAGTCGGGTTAATGTGCTGCTGCCTAGCTAGCTGGGTTAATGTGCTGCTGCCTAGCTAGCTGGGTTAATGTGCTCCTGCCTAGCTAGCTAGCTGGGTTAATGTGCTCCTGCCTAGCTAGTCGGGTTAATGTGCTCCTGCCTAGCTAGCTGGGTTAATGTGCTCCTGCCTAGCTAGTCGGGTTAATGTGCTCCTGCCTAGCTAGCTGGGTTAATGTGCTCCTGCCTAGCTAGTCGGGTTAATGTGCTCCTGCCTAGCTAGCTGGGTTAATGTGCTGCTGCCTAGCTAGCTGGGTTAATGTGCTCCTGCCTAGCTAGCTAGCTGGGTTAATGTGCTCCTGCCTAGCTAGCTAGCTGGGTTAATGTGCTGCTGCCTAGCTAGCTAGCTGGGGGGGGGGGGATAGATGTGAAGAGAGGAAGGAGAGGTGAGGGACAAAGAGGGGAGATAGATTTGAAAAGCCATGAGTGGTATATGATAACGTGACAGAGTGAGTGTAATGCCAGCAGGACAAGGAGAGGGAGGCGTAGGTGGTACGTCAGTGTGGATGGTTGTTATCTGAGTGTGTGTATGTGGTGATGACAGGTCCACTGATCACCCTCTGCCAGGATGCTTGAGCTGCTAAGTGGTCTGCACTTCAATTGACAATGCTGGCATACCAGCTGATACATTTGACTGCTGTGGCTGGGATGGTTGGGCAGCCTAAGTGCAGAGAAGCTGAGCAGCAAAAACTCTCCCTTACCTATAAAGTCACCAGACAGAACATCTAAGCATTCAATCTAAATCTAATTACTGATGATACAAATGTAAATACAATGCAGTACTCTAAAACCGACAGAGCACAGGGACTCTAGCTAACACAGTGTCAGTCAGCGGTGAGACATCAAACGAGGTGGGCTGGACTGACAGAGCAGAGCTCTGGGAAGAGAACACAGTGTACTGAATGAGATTCATTGTCTGAGACTCTCTTATATGCAAACGGATGCACTGAGTGAGGCAGCGTGCCTGGAGGGCAGGCTTGTTTGTACTGCTAGCCTGTAGAGAGTAGAGACAGGGTGGGAGGCTCCAGTAACACTACAGTGTAGTTCCAGCACCTTCAGAACCCTTCCAGGTATTCCACAGGTCTTCCACACTGATGAACTGGTCGTCTCCGTGGAAACTGTTGTGCTTGGCTTTGGGATCGTGGTAGTTCAGGTCCTCCCTTAGGAACTGGAGGTCACCGGGGTCACATTGGGGGAGAGAGAGAGAGAAGGGGAGAGAGGTGTCAATCAAATCAGCCAGAAGGATTATGTGGCCTGTCAATTATAGATGTCAGAGCAGAGGAATCAAACAGTTTCATCAAGGCTGAGGTAGACTTAGGAAACTGCAAAGTGTTCGCTTAGTCAGGGAAGGATAAAAAAGATATGTGCAGCATGCACAGAGAATAACCAACAGAGAAGCATGCCCTGAGCCTCCCCCTGCCTGCAGTGTGCATCCAGCCTTGTAACAGTATCACAATGTTCATGACAAGCAGTAGAGAGGTGTGTATGGATCTAGCACTAAAGGAACCCTATGCTTTACTCACACCACACTCTGGGAAGGTGCTAGAAAACACATGGCCTTTTACGATTGAATGACAATTAAGATCTAGACATTGTCTTAATAGGTTAATTTCAATAAAGATCTATAGGTTTGAGCATGTACATGTGTCATATTTTCCACTGAAGATTTATTGGCCTGAAAACCTGTGATGGAAAGTACAAACCTATAACGCCATTGTGAACAGGTGTGGAAACATAATTTGATGATGAGGAACACAAACAGGAAATCAAGTGTTCCTCTTTCTACTCTAAACCAATCTTTCAATCTAATGAGCCTACTGTAAGTAATATCGAACACATTGAGTGTCTCCAGTTCTCTTGAGCAAAAGCATAGCAGCGCAGCGACAGTGCTTAGCTGACATTATGTTTCATCCATCTCTAGCCAGCCCCCATGCTGTTATCACTGGGAGGAAGAAGCTTGGCTGCTGTACGACACGCACGCCCCCACAAAGAACAGCTCAACGATCACGGGCTCAGGACAAGCCATGATGATGATTTTCCTTCTTCATAGCTTAGTGTGGGAGGTTTTCAATACAGGGCGGAAACTCAAAATCAATCAGGCAATAAATCATACCGTTTCATTGACAATGTAGCCAAATAGCTGATGTTTTTAAAGTCCTGGTCTGGTGTGTTCATCATGTGTTTTTTAGTTGCGTCATGATGTTTCAATTATCTTAGCTTATTTTAAATGTATGTAGTTCTGTCCTAGACCTGTTCTTGTCTATTAATGTTCTGTATTATGTCATGTTTCGTGTTTTGTGTGGACCCCAGGAAGCTTTCGCAACAGCTAATGGGGATCCTAATAAAATAAAGTACCGAAACATGATCAGAAAAACCTATTATTTATCTAAGAAGTGCCCAGGCATCAGAGCTGCTTTGGTCCGAGCGCTTTGGTCTGAGCGCTCCACATGTTTTGTTCAGCCTTCCTCAGTGTTGGCTCTGAGCCAGGACTGACACCAGAGATATGTGCTTCATTCACCGGCTGGCTGCTTCAGGGATCATCATCCAGAGCCAGTGTCTCCATCTAACACTGCTCAGCCCCTGCAGAAGATGCTGCAGAGGAAGAGACCTCTAGCTCAGAACAGAGCCTCCTGAGGTGGGGCAGGAGGCTACAAGGCAGGCCTGTCCTCTCCCAGCCTGTTCGTGGCTGCCCTACAGGCCTCTCCTGTCCTCTCCCAGCCTGTTCGTGGCTGCCCTACAGGCCTCTCCTCTCCCAGCCTGGCCGTGGCTTCCCTCCTACTGGTTGCAGTGTGAGAAAGAAGCCTGCTACGGGGACGGTAGTGGAGTGCAGACCACATCGGTTACATTTTAGCAGCCCTGACCTCTCTCTGACTGCAGGAATGCCTGGCCAGGAAGTGCACAAATCCACCACTTACTTCAATAGCAAAATAAACGCCATTACCAGGAAGCCATTAACTAATCTCATTATCTATGGCCATCTTGGGAAGGAGTCCCTGCTGGTGGATGACAGGGGATTAGAGTACTGATACCTTCAGGCCACTTTTCTGTGACTCACATAGACAGGTCTGACTGGTGCCATGCAGTAAACTAGCTACATCCTCTTCAACACATCACACTATGAAAACACCTGTAATCTATCAAATGCTATTGAAATGTAATGAAGTAGGGAATCTGGTGGTTCTACTCACCCCGTCAGTCTCTGACACGTCCACATTGTATAGGGAACCTGGTGGTTCTACTCACCCCGTCAGTCTCTGACACGCCCACAGTGTATAGGGAACCTGGTGGTTCTACTCACCCCGTCAGTCTCTGACACGTCCACATTGTATAGGGAACCTGGTGGTTCTACTCACCCCGTCAGTCTCTGACACGTCCACATTGTATAGGGAACCTGGTGGTTCTACTCACCCCGTCAGTCTCTGACACGTCCACATTGTATAGGGAACCTGGTGGTTCTACTCACCCCGTCAGTCTCTGACACGTCCACATTGTATAGGGAACCTGGTGGTTCTACTCACCCCGTCAGTCTCTGACACGTCCACATTGCCATTAGCATCGTCATCCATCTGCTTGTGGATACTGCGGATCGCCTCGAAGCTGAGGATGATATTCTCATCATGGCACCGAGGCTCGTCGATGCGACAGAGTTCTGAGGGAGAAAAGACAAGTCCAACCTGAGTCAGAGCTCGCACTGAAGTTTGAAGTGATAGCAGTTGTACAGGGCTCTCAACAACACCTGAACAGCTGATATTTTCTCCATCATACTAGGCTTGGGCGGTAAACCATATATACACCGTATAAAAGGGTATTTTGAAATACCGACGGTATGATAGTTTGGGGCACCCTAATGCTACGCCACTGCTTATAACTAAAAGTTAACTATCCAAGATGTGCCAAATAAATTCTCTCCAACTCAGGGCTCCAGCTATGCATTTGGTTTGTTAACTTGCTAGCTAAGTGGCTAGCTTGCAAGATGAAGCTTCTTGCTTATAGCAGAGACAATCAACCCCTCCAGGATCAAGATCCCTGCTGCCTAAATTTGTTTTGTGCATTTTTGGGGGGAAATAAACAATGCCCCATGTGTACTGCCGGTAATACCGTTTCTCCGGTATGGTACAGGAACAGTTTGAAGGTATGGAAATCTGGATACCCCCCAACCCTACATCATACAGTAGGACTAGTGGCTGTGGCCTGTAGCACACCCCAGCTTATGGACCACAGCCAAAACTCTGTCCACCTTGAAACCATCCCGAGCCATTTGTTCAAATCCCCATAGTAACCTAGGAGCTTTGCTGCTCAGCAGAAAACCATAGGGGTGCTACATTTAGCTGAGCATTAACTAAACCTAGCAAGAGTCTATTTATAACCAGGCTGTGTCCAGCTGTATGGTTACAGTGGAGAAGAGGAGAATGGCGGGGAGGGGAGGAGTTTGCTTTCTTTTCAACAGTGTAACCTGAGTGTTGCCTACACTCAGTATGACAAGGGTGCTGATGTTATGTCATCAATCCCAGTGCAACACGTGTGTAGGGAAGTAGAGTTCTAGTGAGGGAGAAGTCAATGAACAGGGGGAACTATGAGGGCAAAACATCCAAATCAGTATTCATTACTAGCCTAACGTTATTTTCCTTTACATAGCCTACTAACTGGCCTATTACATTAAATGAAGTGTCCTTTAATATAGACCACATGGAAAATTCTATAAAATTAGATTTTATACATGAATAAAGACTTGCGAAAGTGTAAAAAAAAACCTGTCCCTCATGTTTTTTCGACTACTAGGAAGATTGTTACCCACTTAACCCCAACATTTCTTCAAGTTTTAACCCTCATTGTAAAGCCCAAGTTACGTTCTTGCTTTGATAGTCATTTCTGAAGATTATTTATGTCATGTGAATAGTGATTAAGTCCGTCCCTCATTAAGGTCAACCCTGTTATGTGAACTGAACTCTGGTTTTAATATGTAATTTAATATGTATGTAATTATTTATTTTTTTACCAAGTTACACTATCCAAAATGTACTACATTCGTTGAACGACCCGCCTATCTTAGCCTACATTATTACGTCTGTACAATAGCACATACATAGAGGTCTAGACTTAGTAAGAAGTGTGTTCACCTTCACCTCAAGAATTCCAGCTATGCAGCCATTACAATTAAGTTGTTTGAAAGTTGTATAAATGGTGTCACATGCTGGGAGTATCTCTGGGTGTAGTCATGGTTATGAAACCGTTGTGTTGTGTTGCATCTAACCCTTCCTGGTCTGCCGTCTTCCCCTCTCTCCTGGGGGATTAGAAACCCTCTGCAGCAGCAGATCACAGATAAGGCCTTGATTAAAGTCAGAAGAAAGCCTTGTTTGGCCTGAGCGGCAGTGGGAAGACATTCTGGGCTGTGTGAAGGAGCATGACCAAGGCCTCTCAGCCACAGAGATTTGCAGTGTAGCCAAGTGTCTTTGCAGAAAGCTTTAATGTTCTACGTTTCAAGTTCACAATCTCAGGTCAAAAGAATGTACCTTCTATCTCTTTGCAATGTAGTCTACATGATGAAACAGCAGGGTAAAAATACAGGCAAAATGGCAAACAGTCCCTAAAAGGGAAAAAGCTGACCAGATAGATCAAAGCTAAGAGTATATTTTTGCTTGTATGACTGTGTGGGTTATCCTTCCCAGAAACCTGACCAAAACACAAATGAAATAGTGCATGGCCTAGATTAGTGTGATGTCTTCAGTTCTCACACTAAGAAATGTGATATCAGGTACCTTCCTGTGTGGTGCAAGAGCTTCCCCGATTGGCCCATGCAGAGTGCAACTTATAGGCATGAGTCAGCATAGCACAGCACATGACAGGCAGGAGCTTCTCTGGCATGGAATACTGCTGCAGATTTATTCATGACAAAGACTTCATTAAGGCAGCAAGGGCTGAACAGAAAATGGCAACAAAGCCAGAAAAGTGAAGCTATGGAATTTAATTCTATCAAGCAGCCTAGCTGTAGGCAACTACTGCAAAGGGGTAAATTGTTAAATTGTTTGGATCCACAAAAGTCACCATACCCCAACCTGTGGAGAGCTAGAGCAAGCCAGCCACAGAGGCTATGACAGGTGGCCAATGTGGAAACAATTCTATAATATCCAGGCATATCAACAACAACCACAGTTGACACCCTGTGAGGATGATGGCACATCCTCACCTAAAGACTCATACATTCCCCATTGTGTGTGTGACTGTGTTCTTGTTTATTTGTTAAAGGTCCCAGTTTCAGTCATTTTTCATATCCTGCCAGTCAAACGTGTATTCTGCTACAGTTAAGTGTGTAATTATATATATATATATATATATATATATATATATATATATATATATATATGTGAGAAATGTGTTGAGTCAGGATTGGCTAATAAGGTAATTGTAGCCCAGCCCACCTATTTTAGTTGATTGAATACAAGTGTATATGTGTTTGTGGGAGAGAGGCAGTGTGGGTAGTCGATGTGGGAGAGAGGCAGTGTGGGTAGTCGATGTGGGAGAGAGGCAGTGTGGGTGGTCGATGTGGGAGAGAGGCAGTGTGGGTGGTCGATGTGGGAGAGAGGCAGTGTGGGTGGTCGATGTGGGAGAGAGGCAGTGTGGGTGGTCGATGTGGGAGAGAGGCAGTGTGGGTGGTCGATGTGGGAGAGAGGCAGTGTGGGTGGTCGATGTGGGAGAGAGGCAGTGTGGGTGGTCGATGTGGGAGAGAGGCAGTGTGGGTGGTCGATGTGGGAGAGAGGCAGTGTGGGTGGTCGATGTGGGAGAGAGGCAGTGTGGGTGGTCGATGTGGGAGAGAGGCAGTGTGGGTGGTCGATGTGGGAGAGAGGCAGTGTGGGTAGTCGATGTGGGAGAGAGGCAGTGTGGGTAGTCGATGTGGGAGAGAGGCAGTGTGGGTAGTCGATGTGGGAGAGAGGCAGTGTGGGTAGTCGATGTGGGAGAGAGGCAGTGTGGGTAGTCGATGTGGGAGAGAGGCAGTGTGGGTAGTCGATGTGGGAGAGAGGCAGTGTGGGTAGTCGATGTGGGAGAGAGGCAGTGTGGGTAGTCGATGTGGGAGAGAGGCAGTGTGGGTAGTCGATGTGGGAGAGGCAGTGTGGGTAGTTGATGTGGGAGAGAGGCAGTGTGGGTAGTTGATGTGGGAGAGAGGCAGTGTGGGTAGTTGATGTGGGAGAGAGGCAGTGTGGGTAGTTGATGTGGGAGAGAGGCAGTGTGGGTAGTTGATGTGGGAGAGAGGCAGTGTGGGTAGTTGATGTGGGAGAGGCAGTGTGGGTAGTTGATGTGGGAGAGGCAGTGTGGGTAGTTGAAAGGAAGGACAGAGAGAATGTTCTGCTCTCAACTTTTTATCCTTGTTTTAGCTCATATCCTGATTTTAACCGTTGTTGTACATGTCTATTTATTCAAATAATCTCAATTTTGGCGTAAAACTGTTCCTGACTTCAAGAAGCCTTTATGTGCACGAGTTAACGGCCAACTTCATTACACACTACTGGGAACTCGAACAAGAAAATAAAGAAATGAACAACAGTGTAGGTAGGCTATAACAAGCTGCTAATCCATCAACTGACATTCTGGCAGGTTGTCCATAACTGCTTGTTAAGACATGCTAACATTATTTGACTGTAAAGCCTTCTCTTCAACACACGTACAGGCAGCAGCATATGCCACTGCACTGCAGCAGAAAGTGGGGTGGAGCATTTCTGATCAAAAACTGTATTTCCTCTGCCATAACTAGGCTATACAGCTGCAATGGAAGGCACCAAATGGCAAACTCCATCTATAGCAGCAGTTTGACTCTAAAGTCACACCCCTATCCGTCCCCATTTCAGGCGCAATGAGTAGCCTATCGGAGAAATCTTGTGCCAGTGTACAGCCTTTAGCAAACAGAGTAGCCTAAGCTAATAGGCCTACTACTTTTAGACAATAACAATGCATCTCAAAATGAAAGCCTCCTGGTTAATATGGCTCCAGATAACTGAATAACAAACCCATTCCAGGTCAACCTGTTCTTTAATTCCACAATCTAACAGCATAAATCTGCCTGGGGGCACCAAATCAACCGATGCAAGCGAGTGTGCTGAACATAGCTAGCCTCCTAGATAAAGGTTAAGTCTACAACCCAAGGGTGTGGTGGTGGTTAAAAAGTAACTTTTGGGACATTGTTTTTGTGCATTTGAAAATACCAGTGGGTCTACATTCTAGATCTGCAGCCCAGTACTTCTTCAGCAAACACAGCCATGATGAAAAAAGAATGACTTTTGGCACCTGCAGCTCTCACACACACCCTGCCAACCCTCTCCTCATTTTCATTTGGTTTGCAAACTTACTGGATATTAAATATTTACATACTAGACTACCTTTTCAAAGAGCTTTAAGTTATCTAACCCTCTCGGTGTGTGTGTGTGTTTGCCTGTAGAAGACTGAACACGCACTTGCCCTCTGGACCACTTCACTGCCGGTGTAATTACTGTTTCCCATCCTGACTCCAGGATGCCCAACCAGGCTTACTGTAGCAGGCAGTAGTCTGTAGTAGTCAACCCTCTCCAGGCCCCAAGTCTCTTCATCACACAAACGCCATGACCTAGTAAAACTGATGCTGAGCACAGACACTATACATTATGTATGTGGGTAGCTAGGCCACATTCACTGAATGTCTCACCACCAACAGGTCCTGCAAACCACTACAACCGTCTTTAATGTTTTACCACAAACACAATCTTTATTGGAGATGGGTCACTGTGACAGCCAACATGTTGTATCACTCCATGACTTGGCCCCTGTCCCATTCAGCAAAAGCCTTTACACAGTCTGGCCTCAATGCATGATGTCAAATCAAAAGACCTCAAGTAGTGGCACAATTACTGTAAGTGGTATAGAATAGGCTAACTTACAAAAGTCAGGGCCGAGAGTGGTCTTCAAAGCCATTGTTTATTCATTTCTAAACATCTCAATTTTTTAGGAATAGGCCTACATTAGTTAAGGGCCCCTTGGACAGGAAGCATAGCACTACCTGATAAATTACAAATGCCACAAGTTTAACATCAACACTGTTCATGTGAAATCATAGGAGCCCTGTATAAACAGTGATAATAAAATGATGGGCAGGCACCTAATTCACCCACAGCTGTATAAATATGATATGACGATGTATGATCCAAACCCACCCAAAAGGGAACACCAGAGGAGACTGGTCAGGTCTAAAACGAACAATGAATAGGCCAGTTCTAGCCCTACTACTGTGGCCGACATGAGGCTTAGACACCTATATGATGTTCATTACTAAAAACTTCTCAGTGTCACGTTGTTTAGTTTAAACTAAACCTATGACAATAGTTTCACACGTTCCGTTTTGTTGTTTTGGAATTACATTGAATGCTGTGGCAAAACTAGTGATGATGAGTAAAATACGTTTTGACTGACTTGAAAAAAAAAAAAACACACTACCAAGATGCACGTCTCCCTGACTTGACTGTGTGCTATGATCACCATGGGACAGAGCTTAATAGAGAATGCATACCCTAACTATTCTCAGCATGGTTGCATTTAGAGCTGGCACAATTTCTAAATACAAAAACGGTACAGGAGATTCTAGTGCACTGATAATGCAACAAATGTCTACAAGTGACCAATTTTGATCACATTGTGTATGGAATTAATACACATGCTGCATATGGGCAGAATGATTGCAGGTGTGTCATAATGTTCGAACATTTCTGAATGATATTTACATACCTGACACACCATTATCAATTTCATGGTGGTCTGAGCTGGCTTGGACCGTCCAACTTTCGCTCAGGAGGCATAAGCATACAATCCACAAGGTCAACGATTTGCTGAAATCCATAATGGAGGTTTGCTAGGAAGAGGAAATGTTTTAGTGACATCTCGCATGAATGTATAACGTTAGCTACTGTACTAGCCCAGTGATTTAACAATGACTGAACTTCAGATTTAAAACCAATGACACCAATTTCAAACCAATGACACTGCATGATTACTACAATCTAAAAGGTCTAGCTAAAGTGTCAAATGAGATCACATCGGAACTTTACAAGCCAACTATCATCGGTCAAGGAACGTTGGTAGTCCATATCTGGGACCTCTAACGTGGCTATTTACTCAGTATAGAAGTCACATATGGGCTACAGGCAGATAGTACAGGCTCTCACAAATTCAGTGGTTGGCTCATGCTAATCATTATCATGATCATAATACTACTATCAAACAATTTCACCATGTTTAGCTATTTCAATAAAATCATTACATTACAAGACAATATTAGCTGGACATGGATAACAAGCAATCATAGCTAACGCGTTAGCAGTCAGTAGCTAACAGTAAAGAAATGGCTGGCTAACCAACGTTATTGAAACAAAAGTGACAGCTGGGAGCTTGACAGCCCGGCCTGAATAGCGATCTTAATCGAGTCAGTCGTTTCATGATTTTCTAGGTAGCCATTAAAATGTACTTAGTTACCTTTCAAGACTTTTGCATTGGATGGATGCTCTTCTTATTACAACTCTAGTGGTTACCGTAGAATCAAAGGCACGTCATCAATCGTAGGTCCAAACTCCAAAGAGAAGCCCCTATGTACTCCATGGATAAAGGTTTAGACAGCTAACGTTAGCTAGCCAACAATGCGCAGGCAATCCCAGGGCCGAGGTGGTCGACTAACTAACTACCACACAGACACTAGGATAAAGCTAGCTAACTAAGTAACGTAATGGTTTGGGCCACTTCTTCAGCTAGCTCACCACCGCACTAGCACAGCAGGCTTCAGACCATTGTCAGCAGCTAGGAAGCTGGCTTCACTGATAATCATCGCACACGAGCTATCTACAATGACAGAACGCGAGCTACCTAGCTAGCAAACCCGTCCTCTTACGTGAACTTACTGGATAAAATACACTCGAGTAAGAAAAAAAGTATTTATGATTGATTCAAACACAGAGCGGTTGTAATCCACTAGCTACATGTCCGCTCCAGTTGGTTGCCCCCCCCCCCACTCAAAAAAGCTTCAACTCCTGGCTCTGCAGCTGACTGGTTCAGTTCTTCAGACTGGGTTGCTTCACCTGTGAATCAAGCAATATTAACGAATCACTTCCTATCACGTGGTTTTAAATAATCCTTCAAAATAAGAGTGTCGCCCTGTAAACGGTGTAAACGAATTATGAAGGTAAAAAAATATTCATACTTGAGTAAAAGTAAAGATACCTTAGTAGAACATGACTCAAGTAAAAGTAAAAGTCACCCAGTAAACTTCTGCTTGAGTAAAAGTCTAAAAGTATTTGGTTTAAAATATACTTAACTATCAATAGTAAATGTAATTGCTAAAATATACTTAAGTATCAAAAGTAAACGTAAAAGTATAAACCATTTCAAATTCCTTATATTAAGCAAACCAGACAGCACCATTTTCTTGTTTTTTATTTATTTATGGATAGCCAGAGGCACACCAACATTCAGACATCATTTACAAACGAAGCATGTGTGTTTAGTGAGTCCACCAGATCTGAGGCAGTAGGGATGACCAGGGGTGTTCTGTTAATAAGTGTGTGAATTGGACAATTTTCAAGCATTCAAAATGTAACGAGTACTTTCGGGTGTCAAGGAAAATGTATGGAGTAAAAAGTACAGTATGTTCTTAAGGAATGTAGTGAAGTAAAAGTAAAAGTTGTCAAAAATCTAAATACAGATACCCCAGAAAACTACTTAAGTAGTACTTTTAAGTATTTTTACTTAAGTACTTTACACCACTGTATATATATATATATATATATATATATATATATATATATATATATATAAGATAAATTAATTCCGACCATAATCCTACGTTTGTACCAATATCAACGCGTAACTTTTTTTTTTTTTTTAAGGAAACGCCTAGGCCTTATGTTGCAAGTTGTTGCTCATGCTGGCTTCAAACACATATCAGTTCGCATGTGTTTAAGGCATAGAGATAGATAGAGAACTCTAGTGCCCAAAACTTTGTTTTAGCATGGGCAGACCAGGACTTTCAACACTTTGAAGTAGTCAACTGGGTGGAACTTTCGTATGAGTTAAGGAAGGATCACATTATTCCATCCAGGTCACCAGGAGGGATCAGCCAATGAATTATACTTGTGAGGAAACATTCCATAACTGCAGGTGGCAGTAAATCATCAACCTTGGCTTTATACCTGTTCAAACAACACACTCTAAATGGCAGTGTGCACCCTTGCAGTTTGTTTGTCAACTCATAGAAGTAGTAAAATAAGAAAATTGACTACTTCAAAATGGAGATGGCTTCAATGGCGCTGCCTGTGCTCGCTAAGACTCCATGATGGAACAGATACAATGATGCGATATCTATCTAAATCTATGGTTAGAGCAGTCATGATGAGCAGCGCATTAGATACGACGTCACCACTGCCGGAAGGTTGTTTTTACGATAGCTAGAAGACTGCTGCCTGTGCTGTCCACTACTTCAATCTGAGTAGAAAACTGCAATCAAAGCGCTCGTGTTGATTCTGACATTATACTTCCACATAAAGGTGTGTGGATGTAGGCTATTACAACAAACGAACGGTGGAGCTCATCGGCTCATCAGTTCCACACAACTAAGCTCAAGTATGCCACCTTGAGGCTGTAGGCAACACAGCGCTAGAAATAAAAGAGGAGGGGAAGCATGATTTTATGGGGAGGCATTCCATCGGGGGGCATCTTCTGATGGACCTAATGCCCGCTGTCAGAACAAATCTGAGCCTAAATGGGATAGCCAGTAGGCCTTATCATGCTAAATCCCAACTTCTTATAATAAAAGTGTATGATACACCTTTATCTGATAATATATCATAAGCCAATGATAAATCCTGATTCTCAGTTTAAAGTCCCAATGCAGCCATATTTATATCCATATCAAATCATTTCTGGGTAACAATTAAGCACCTTACTGTAATAGTTTACCATTAAAATTGACAAAAAATGAATTTCAGCAAAAAACGATTTTTCACGCAATTATTTTGCTAGGACTGTCTGGGAGTGGTCTGAGTGGGGAGGGGAAAACTGAAAACTAGCTGTTATTGGCAGAGAGGTTTGGAACCAATTTACCGACTGGTGATGTCACCAGGCAAGCAGAAACTCCCACCCATGCAAACCTGCTGATTAGAAGGGCCTTTTTGGATTTTATTTTCAACCAGCAACTAATTTATATCAGGAATAACACTGATAAAACAAATCACACTTTTGCAGTGTTAGTTTCATCAGCTGTTGTACAAGATGATACAAAACACAGGAAAAACAGAATTGTGACTGCAATGGGCCTCTAACGACTATGTGGTTATTCCTATTCTGTACATTTGAATGTCAAATAAGGTAATTCATTGGGTAACAATTTTATGTAAAATGCTGTTTAATATTCTACCAGCAACGTCTATTTAAAACAATAGCTCAGGCTGTCATAGTGGGGAGACAAACTTCCTCACAGTGCTATTATTGCTCGAGCGGCTTCCTCTTCAGCGAACACTCACACTTCCTCCACTACAGCAACACTTTGCTTGACTGCTTTGACGCTCTCGGACAGATTGTAGGCTGTTTGTTCATACAAACCCTGCCATTGAAGATAGTATGTTTGGTGAGTCTCACTTGTTTTTAACCTTTTCATGTTTTTTATGTACTACTACTGTATAATAGATATGTAGGCTGAGAACACAATCTTATGGAAGCACTTGAGTGACGCAACATAAAGTGAGGTAGCCTACTGCCGTTATAATTTCGGTAGACGCTATTCTATATCAAAACACTATAGGCCTACCATATGGCAAACAATGTTAAAATCCACAATTGTAATACTTATTTGTGACAGTTATTTTGTGTTTCATTTAGCCCGCTCGAAGTTATAACTGGCTCTACTGACTGTAGTTGGCTCTTTTTCTATAAAATGACCGATGATGGTGGTGAAAAACATTTACTGTTTATGTTGAAATATTTTCCAATTTCAGGGGTACTATTAGGCCCTATTTACACATAGCGCTTTTCTTAATTGTAGCCTAATAATCTAGGTGAATGAAATTAGAAAAGTACATGATCAGAATGCTATGGCCTTGTTGATGGCCTACAATGTGAAATTCACCTATTACAGATATTCAGTGGATAGGCCAAAGGTATGTGGCAATGGTGATATTCATACAAAGGTTTATTGGATTTGATTAACTATGCCAGGTCAGTTTGCAGAGCAGTACATTTCAGTGCTCCCAGTCTCGGGTCCCTGTAGACTGGGTTGAGCTATATTCACTTTTTCTCCAACATTCTCAGAGAGCAGCGGGAAGAGTCCAGCTGTCCTCTCTCACAATGAATTACAATTACTGCATGTATTTCATGCTCTCTAGTCTCCACCCATATTTTGTAGTTTCAGTGTTCTCACTTGAATTCACGGGGAACATAGGCCTTCTGTACTGCAACTATAAATTAAGTAGGCCGACAGATAAACATTATTTTAAAGTCGAAATGAAAGCCAATAGATAAACAAATACGGATATGAATAGAATGTGTCAAACTGTACTGTGACATCTAGGGTGTGAGAGTGATGTTCATATCTGATAAAGTGTGAGAGCAATTTAAACCACAAACCTTACTTTTCAACCGTTTCAATTTTTGTGGGCCCTACAAGTGTCTCACTTTTGGTATAAAGTGCATCTGAATATTTTAGCATAAAGTGCATTTCTCCCTGTGTTTCTCATGTCCAGGTGTCTGAGACAGTGAATTGGTCAAAATGCAGAGCATCAAGTGTGTGGTGGTAGGAGACGGTGCAGTGGGGAAGACCTGCCTCCTCATCTCCTACACCACCAACGCCTTCCCCAAGGAATACATCCCCACTGTGTTTGACAACTACAGTGCCCAAGTGACTGTGGACAGCAGGACTATTAGCCTCAACCTGTGGGACACAGCAGGCCAGGAGGAGTACGACCGTCTGCGCACCCTCTCCTACCCCCAGACCAACGTGTTTGTCATCTGCTTCTCCATCGCCAGCCCCCCCTCCTTTGAGAACGTCAAGCACAAGTGGCACCCAGAGGTCACCCACCACTGTCCCAATACGGCCATTCTGCTGGTGGGCACCAAGAAGGACCTGCGTAATGACCCAGAGGTGTTGAAGAAGCTTAAGGATCAGAACCAGACGACCATCACCCAACAGCAAGGCAGCGCCCTGGCCAGGCAGATCCATGCCATCAAGTACCTCGAATGCTCTGCCCTCAACCAAGATGGAATCAAAGAGGTGTTCGCTGAGGGTGTGCGAGCCTTTCTCAACCCACAACCTGTCGCCACCAGGAAACCTTGTGTGCTACTGTAAAGGCGGTAGAGATGCTACCACAGATGCAAATCAAATAGAACAATATTAATTAATTTAATGTGTGTAAACCATTGGAGTTGATTTCATTGTGAAATATGTTTTTGTTGTACTGCCAATAACAAACACTGCCATATCAAGACTCTCTTGAGAAAAGGGGATCTTTGAGGCATTGGCCCAAGATGCATGCTTCAAAACTGACCCAATGTTAGGTAGGCGAGAAGGGCTCCAACGTTGTCTGTGAGAATCCTTGCTTTTGCTCTCTTCCTTTAAAGCAATTATCAAACAAGACCTGAGACTTGATGGGAGATACATTCTCTCATTTATCTGTATTCGTATTATTGTCAAATTTGGACTTGTATGGCCTTTACAAAAATAATTAAATAATGCACGTGTAAAAAGATAATATCAGGAATTTAATTTACTGCAGTGGGTGAAATCAGGATCACAGTGTTTCTTGGTAGTCTTAAACAAATCTACATTGAAACAAAAGTATACACCTCACACACATGGTTATGGGCTTAAAAAAATAAGACACCTGTACCATGTCAGATATTGAGTTGAAATGTATTCAATTTTGAGTTTGCATCCCAATATTACATTTTATATCATCACAGAAGACTGAAATATAACAAAACTGTTTGACATAGAAACACTGGATTTTCTGCTCCTTTCTTGAAATAATGGTGACTTTTTTTGAAATAAAGTTGATTAATTATGAAATTATGAAAAATATTAATATAATTCCACCCATGAGGCGCTATGTCATTTGACTGCAGGAAAGGGCTACATACCAATTACCCCATTATTATTTGTACAATGTACAGCATAGTGGGTTTAAAACATAATTTTTTATAAAGCTAACATAGAAGGAGGTTTTTCTACATCGTCGGTTTTTTGTGTGCTGTGCGTGACTATCAAGCCACCAAGTTAGTGCTAGTCTACTCTGTCTGAATGTATTGAATGCTGGACACAAAAGAGGAAATGCGGAGAGGTTTTTGATAAGAAATGCACAGGCTCATTTTCCTATCGCGGTCATTAGTCAGTGTGTGTTTGAGAGAGAGAGAGAGAGAGAGAGATCAAAAAAGGGAAGCTGGTTGTAACTTCCCTCTGAAAGTCCATAGTTTGCTATCTGTTTTAGTTAAGTTGGTGTTCTGGGTGTTTTAATGTTGTGTAACTATGTTGGGAAGGCCGTGACCCCACTCTCCGAGGGTGTCTCAGGGAGAGTTGGGATATGCAAAAAACACATTTCCAATTCACACATGCTTATTAATACAACATTTGAAATGTGTGAAATAGGACAAATATAAGCACCCACCAACTGATTATTATTACATTTACTGTACTGTTATAAATGAGAGATGGAAATTGTGTGCAAACTGTAGTGTAGATTAATGTGACATATCTTTATTCTTATCAAAAGAAACAGCAAATAAATGTGTCTCAAATTGAAAGAAACAAACCCATTGATCAATGCATTCAATTAAATTGATACTTCAAGAATCCCAAAACCTTTCCAATGGAGGCATGGTATGTGACAAACAATCAGCATGCTGAACAACGATGAAGTCCCTGATTTGCCTGAGAATGATTTGGAAGTGAAACGATCCAGCTTGCTGTATCAGAGTTGTGAAAGATACATTTTCATATGCTGCCCAAACATCACTGTCCTCTCCCACACCTCAGGCCACTGGACTCATTTGACAGTGAAATTAGGCCTCTGCTCTGCCTGCTGGATAACAGACACAGCTTTGTGTGAGAACAGTGGAGGGACACACAGATATATCTCCTTACTGTTTTAGTACAGTATATGTTGTTACTGTAAACAATACCCCAATCTAGTAGTATCTGGATCTACAGTGAGGGAAAAAAGTATTTGATCCCCTGCTGATTTTGTACGTTTGCCCACTGACAAAGACATGATCAGTCTATAATTTTAATGGTAGGTTTATTTGAACTGTGAGAGACAGAATAACAACAACAAAATCCAGAAAAACGCATGTCAAAAATGTTATAAATTGATTTGCATTTTAATGAGGGAAATAAGTATTTGACCCCTCTGCAAAACATGACTTAGTACTTGGTGGCAAAACCCTTGTTGGCAATCACAGAGGTCAGACGTTACTTGTAGTTGGCCACCAGGTTTGCACACATCTCAGGAGGGATTTTGTCCCACTCCTCTTTGCAGATCTTCTCCAAGTCATTAAGGTTTCGAGCCTGACGTTTGGCAACTCGAACCTTCAGCTCCCTCCACAGATTTTCTATGGGATTAAGGTCTAGAGACTGGCTAGGCCACTCTAGGACCTTAATGTGCTTCTTCTTGAGCCACTCCTTTGTTGCCTTGGCCGTGTGTTTTGGGTCATTGTCATGCTGAAATACCCATCCATGACCCATTTTCAATGCCCTGGCTGAGGGAAGGAGGTTCTCACCCAAGATTTGACGGTACATGGCCCCGTCCATCGTCCCTTTGATGCAGTGAAGTTGTCCTGTCCCCTTAGCAGAAAAACACCCCCAAAGCATAATGTTTCCACCTCCATGTTTGACGGTGGGGATGGTGTTCTTGGGGTCATAGGCAGCATTCCTCCTTCCTCCAAACATGGCGAGTTGAATTGATGCCAAAGAGCTCGATTTTGGTCTCATCTGACCACAACACTTTCACCCAGTTCTCCTCTGAATAATTCAGATGTTCATTGGCAAACTTCAGACGGGCCTGTATATGTGCTTTCTTGAGCAGGGGGACCTTGCGGGCGCTGCAGGATTTCAGTCCTTCACGGCGTAGTGTGTTACCAATTGTTTTCTTGGTGACTATGGTCCCAGCTGCCTTGAGATCATTGACAAGATCCTCCCGTGTAGTTCTGGGCTGATTCCTCACCGTTTACATGATCATTGCAACTCCACGAGGTGAGATCTTGCATGGAGCCCCAGGCCGAGGGAGATTGACAGTTATTTTGTGTTTCTTCCATTTGCGAATAATCGCACCAACTGTTGTCACCTTCTCACCAAGCTGCTTGGCGATGGTCTTGTAGCCCATTCCAGCCTTGTTTAGGTCTACAATATTGTCCCTGACATCCTTGGAGAGCTCTTTGGTCTTGCCCATGGTGGAGAGTTTGGAGTCTGATTGATTGATTGCTTCTGTGGACAGGTGTCTTTTATACAGGTAACAAACTGAGATTAGGAGCACTCCCTTTAAGAGTTTGTTCCTAATCTCAGCTCATTACCTGTATAAAAGACACCTGGGAGCCAGAAATCTTTCTGATTGAGAGGGGGTCAAATACTTATTTCCCTCATTAAAATGCAAATCAATTTATAACATTTTTGACATGCGTTTTTCTGGATTTTTGTTGTTGTTATTCTGTCTCTCACTGTTCAAATAAACCTACCATTAAAATTATAGACTGATCATTTCTTTGTCAGTGGGCAAACGTACAAAATCAGCAGGGGATCAAATACTTTTTTCCCTCACTGTACCTCTCTCTCTCTCTCTTTCTGTCTTTACAAATGAGGAAGAACATTTATTTGTAACTTCCTTAATTTAGGTTGTGGACCTCACTGACTGACTCACTCACTAAGCATAAGCATGTAATGGTGGAGAACTCAACATTTCTGAAAGAATTGTTTAATAAAGATCAATGTTTACGCCCCCAAAAAAATCACTATTAGACTATTATTACCTTTAAGATGTCTCTCTCTGCCTGAGAATATATACTGAACAAAAATATAAACGCAACATGTAAAGTGTTGGTACCATGTTTCATGAGCTAAAATTAAAGTTTGCAGAAATGTTCCACATGCACAGAAAGCTTATTTCTCTCAAATCTTGTGCACACATTTGTTTACATCCCTGTTAGTGAGCATTTCTCCTTTGCCAAGATAATCCATCCACCTGACAGGTGTGGCATATCAAGAAGCTGATTATACAGCATGATCATTACCGAGTGGCGCAGTGCCACTAGAGATCCTGGTTCGAATCCAGGCTCTGTCGGAGCCGGCCGCGACCGGGAGACCCATGGTGCGGCGCACAATTGGCCCAGCGTCGTCTAGGGGAGGAGAGGGAATGGCCGGCAGGGGATGTAGCTCAGTTGGTAGAGCATGGCGTTTGCAATGCCAGGGTTGTGGGTTCGATTCCCACGGGGGGGTATGAAAAAATAAAAAAATAAAAAATAACAATAATGTATGCACTCACTAACTGTAAGTCGCTCTGGATAAGAGCGTCTGCTAAATAATATAAATGTAAAATAGGTGCTGGGGACAATAAAAGGCCACTCTAAAATGTTCAGTTTTGTCACATGACACAATGCCACAGATGTCTCAAGTTTTGAGGGAGCGTGCAATTGGCATGCTGATTGCAGAAACATCCACCAGCGCTGTTGCCAGAGAATGTAATGTTAATTTCTCTACCATAAGCCGCCTCCAACGTCGTTTTATTGAATTTGGCAGTACTTCCAACTGGCCTCACAACCGCAGACCACATGTAACCACGCTAGCCCAGGACCTCCACATCCTGCTTCTTCACCTGCGGGATTGTCTGAGACCAGCCACCCAGACAGCTGATGAAACGGAGGAGTATTTATGTCTGTAATAAAGCCCTTCTGTGGAGAATAACTCATTCTGATTGGCTGGGCCAGGCTCCTTAGTTGATGGCCCTGGCTCCAAAGTGGGTGGGCATATAACAAACAATATACAAGGAAAATATACTTTTGTATCTAATGTTTAAAGGTCATGAACAGTCAAAATCATGTTTGTCATGAAATTTGATGATATTTGAAGGAAACCAGATCAAAGTATGATCACCAAAGTATGAAAAATGACTGTTGCTTCTACATTGATCAAGTTTGATCATAAAGTTACTGGTCCCCTCCCCCATGTCAAACACTTGGAATCATTATTAAGGGAACAAGGTGACATCACCTTAACTCTCATTTTAATACAGCAATGGAAACATGATATTCTGTTACCTAATTTAAATAAGTACCGGGAAGGGTAGTTCAAAATTCAGACGCAGTTGTTAAGTCAACACATCCATCAGTGCTGCTGTGAACCGCATCACAAGATACTAGCCAAATGGTAGATGTATATAAAAAAAGGATATCATTGATGCAATTTCAATTATGTTTGAGTTGCTTTGTGTATCACCAAATTTCCTTGAGATTATTTTATTGCAACACTGCCCACTGCATCCAAGTTGCTTGACATAGGTGTTTCAGCTCATGACTATAAACTCCCCTCCCACTCAGCCTGTCTTTTCAAACTTCCTGGTAGTTTTCAGAATGACTGTTTGGGACCTTTAATGTACTGATGCTACAATATAGTTACTCCCTGGTTCACAGTACATGTTGTGTTTCCAGTAAAAGTAAGCAGCCAAGCAGCAGAAAGCTATTTTGAGGATTAAGCAATGGATTTTCCAGTTCAAATATTTCACGTCCTGTGTGTGAACAAAGAAAGAGCGATTTGATAGAGCAAAGATTGCAATATGAAAAAATTATCTTGTGAACTTATCTACTGTGTAATTGCGCTATGCGATTGTAATTTCCTACTTTATAACTTGAATAATTAAAACATTTAATTTAGCTAGAATGACTTGATGAGGAACACAATGAGCCGTCTTAATTAAGCCCGTCTGAGAAACTCTCGAGATGAGACATCAGTAACACATTGCAGCTGCTGTAAAAACAGTTTCAGCCACATCCTTCCACAAATACTATTTATACTGCAGAATACTGGCAGTATGTGTCTCAAGCAACAGCATTCACTCTATTTACTGGTCCTATCCAAAATGCCCACAGTAGGTTATCATGAAAAACATTTACATTTACATTACATTTTAGTCATTTAGCAGACGCTCTTATCCAGAGCGACTTACATCAGCAATTATGGGTTAAGTGCCTTGCTTAAGGGCACATTGACAGATGTTTTCACCTAGTCGGCTCTGGGATTAGAACCAGCGACCTTTCGGTTACTGGCACAACGCTCTTACCCACTAAGCTACCTGCCGATTACAAGCTCCATATCAAACTATTATCCAACCGCAATTGCCCATAAAAAGTGTATGACATAGTGGCAGCCTAATACTTCTGTATGTCGCGTGTCATCTCCAAACGATCTCCAGCAGCCCCTATGAGTACCAGTCTTTTTACCTAACATTCCACTGCTTCCCACTACATTTCATTGCCATAGAGTCAACTAGTTACCACAGTCACAAAGTCAAATTTGACTATATCGTAAAAATTCACGAAAACAAAAATGTGCTTTTTGGTCTTAATTCAAGGTTAGGGTTAGGCATAATGTTAGCAGTGTGGTTAAGATACGGGTTAAGGTTAGGTTTAAAATCATATTTTAAGAAGAGAATAGTAGAAATATGACTTTGTGGCTGTGGTAACTAGTGACGACCAAGAGTGGCCTTTCGGCAATGCAGCTGGATTATGGCGGAGTTGCTCATTGTTTGTTGGAAATAATAAAATATAATTAGAATTTTTAAAAACATTTAGCTGTTAGCTAGGTGAGTTTTTGTATTTTGAGGTTTAAAATCAAAGCAAAGAGGTTTTGTGTTTGGAATTGCAGTATGTATTTAGTTTGAGAATTTAGACGTGAGCTAGCAATTTTTGAGACTGGACAAAGAGTTCAAATATTTGGTTAATTGTTGTGATTGGAGGATAGCTGTGAGGGTTATCAATCAGGATCAACTCCTCTGTTCTCATCGAGCTCATTAATGATAGAAGGTTCATATTTGAAGACGACAGAAAGGAAAGTCTCTTTGGAAATGACAAGGAGTGGAATGTTAGCTAAAGATACTGGTCCTCTGGCTAGGCAAAAATATGCTATATGCCATGAATATTTGCCAGTGTAAGTGTGCAAGCCAAGTGCGAGCAGGGTAAATGTGTTTGTGCTTGCTACAATGTGTGTGTGTGTGTGTGTGCACGTGTGGTGAACATGACAGCCTACACTCACAGTGAGTTATGTGTGGTGTGGAGGGGTGTGTTGGTCACAGCCCCAGACTTGGTCAGGAAACATCTGTTCCTCCAGGACAGAGGCCCAGGTCCTGAGAGTGTGAACACAGCCAGGAGCTTCTTCCAAGTCTGACTCAACTGGCCCTCAGTAACACCCTTTACCACTGATCTGGTTGGGATCAAAATGCTGGTATTTCTCCTAGAGTCCTAACACAGAATAACAGTGGTCCAAGTCCTTCAACAATATAGTAAGAAACTTAAAAAGAGAGATTATATAAATAAGATTGTAGTTGTTTTGTTTTAGCTAGAATGATTGATGGGTAAATACAATAGATTGACAGTAGTCTGCATCAGTGTGAGTGAAAGGAAAGGACGCAGGGAGATTCTCAATTGGACAAAAGTCTGTCTTCTCTTCAACACCTCCGTCCTCCTTTCCTCCGTGACCCGGAAACCGATAAGCGGTTGCCATGTGTAGGAGAGTGTCAATCCGTTAATAGGTGAACGGAGGAGTTTGCTCTTCTCTTCAATTGCCTCCTATGGTCGAGGATACACATGTGCAGTGCGAAGTGTTTTTGAAATCTGCCACCCCCCCCCCACCCTTGAATCAGCTGTTGTTTTCTGAAAGGAGAAACAAACATTTAAAAATGATACACTACTTACCCCTTTATCTATAAAATGTCTCACACAACTAGCTAAATAAATGTTTTCTATACATTTATTTTAGGATTCCATCCCTGTAAATGTAATTTGCAAATGACCTGCTAGTGGAGAAGGAGAGTTTCATTTCATTCAAGTGTATTTGTTTCCACGTTTCCTCCCCTACCTTTGACCTTTTTCAAAAGGAGGCGAGGAGAGGACGGAGGAGAGGACGCGAGGAGTCGAGCAAAATCCATTTGAGAATCTACCACAGCTTTGAACTGCACTTGACAATGCGGTTTCATTAGGCTGCAGTAGTTGGTTTTTCCTCTAGAGGGCTCTAGTGTCAACTTTGTCGACGTTGGAGACAATGAAATCACCAAAAGCACCTCTCCTAATAGGAACTATACTATACTGCCTGCTTCACCAGGAAACTGCATCATACCACCAAATGAGCACAACCTGCAATTTTCATTCAGTTGAATGAACAACTAACTTCCCGTTACATGTCTGTCTTTCATGCACTTTCAACATCTCCTGATCAAGTACAGCGCTGAAGGGAAGGAACGATGCCTTGCCTCAGGAATCAGTGAATACTTCTTTATGACCAGCCACAGCCGACAGGTTAACACAATGTGGATAACAGAACTGGCAATGAACAGAACAAAACCTTCCTTATGGACAACTATGGGACAAAGAAGGGCATAAAAGCTAAAAGCATACAAGTACAACTGTATTAGTCATAACAGTCACTGATACAGGTTATATGGTTTATAACTAGGGTCCATAGTTTTTCCTGGTCGGGCCATGTATCCGGAAAAACTCAGGGTCCTATTTATTACAGCAAGAAACAGGAATTCTGTCATTTGCTCAAAATCATAATTGTATATCATGCAGCATATTAATCTATGTAAATGAGCAGCATAGTACAGTGGGGGGGAAAAAGTATTTAGTCAGCCACCAATTGTGCAAGTTCTCCCACTTAAAAAGATGAGAGAGGCCTGTAATTTTCATCATAGGTACACGTCAACTATGACAGACAAAATGAGAAAAAAAGATCCAGAAAATCACATTGTAGGATTTTTAATGAATTTATTTGCAAATTATGGTGGAAAATAAGTATTTGGTCAATAACAAAAGTTTCTCAATACTTTGTTCTATACACTTTGTTGGAAATGACACAGGTCAAACGTTTTCTGTAAGTCTTCACAAGGTTTTCACACACTGTTGCTGGTGTTTTGGCCCATTCCTCCATGCAGATCTCCTCTAGAGCAGTGATGTTTTGGGGCTGTCGCTGGGCAACACGGACTTTCAACTCCCTCCAAAGATTTTCTATGGGGTTGAGATCTGGAGACTGGCTAGGCCACTCCAGGACCTTGAAATGCTTCTTACAAAGCCACTCCTTCGTTGCCCGGGTGGTGTGTTTGGGATCATTGTCATGCTGAAAGACCCAGCCACGTTTCATCTTCAATGCCCTTGCTGATGGAAGGAGGTTTTCACTCAAAATCTCACGATACATGGCCCCATTCATTCTTTCCTTTAAACGGATCAGTCGTCCTGGTCCCTTTGCAGAAAAACAGCCCCAAAGCATGATGTTTCCACCCCCATGCTTCACAGTAGGTATGGTGTTCTTTGGATGCAACTCAGCATTCTTTGTCCTCCAAACACGACGAGTTGAGTTTTTACCAAAAAGTTCTATTTTCGTTTCATTTGACCATGTGACATTCTCCCAATCCTCTTCTGGATCATCCAAATGCACTCTAGCAAACTTCAGACGGGCCTGGACATGTACTGGCTTAAGCAGGGGGACACGTCTTGCACTGCAGGATTTGAGTCCCTGGCGGCGTAGTGTGTTACTGATGGTAGGCTTTGTTACTTTGGTCCCAGCTCTCTGCAAGTCATTCACTAGGTCCCCCCGTGTGGTTCTGGGATTTTTGCTCACCGTTCTTGTGATCATTTTGACCCCACGGGGTGAGATCTTGCGTGGAGCCCCAGATCGAGGGAGATTATCAGTGGTCTTGTATGTCTTCCATTTCCTAATAATTGCTCCCACAGTTGATTTCTTCAAACCAAGCTGCTTACCTATTGCAGATTCAGTCTTCCCAGCCTGGTGCAGGTCTACAATTGTGTTTCTGGTGTCCTTTGATAGCTCTTTGGTCTTGGCCATAGTGGGGTTTGGAGTGTGACTGTTTGAGGTTGTGGACAGGTGTCTTTTATACTGATAACAAGTTCAAACAGGTGCCATTAATACAGGTAACGAGTGGAGGACAGAGGAGCCTCTTAAAGAAGAAGTTACAGGTCTGTGAGAGCCAGAAATCTTGCTTGTTTGTAGGTGACCATATACTTATTTTCCACCATAATTTGCAAATAAATTCATTAAAAATTCTACAATGTGATTTTATGGATTTTTTTTTCTCAATTTGTCTGTCATAGTTGACGTGTACCTATGATGAAAATGACAGGCCTCTCTCATCTTTTTAAGTGGGAGAACTTGCACAATTGGTGGCTGACTAAATACTTTTTTCCCCCACTGTATGTCGCAGGGCAGTGGTTCCCAACCTTTATCGCTTAATGTACCACCAGCTGAATGTTGCTCTGTCCAGAGTACCCCTGAAGTACCTCCTCATGTGTATTTTACCACTAGGCCTATGGTCTCATGAATCTTCTCAAGTACCGCCTGTGAATAGGCCAAGTACCCCCAGGGGTCCTAGTACCCCTTGTTGGGAAAGCACTGCTGTAGGGTAGGCCTTATGCCTATTTATTCTCAGCTGACTAATTGTCAAAAGGTTGCTCATGGTATGTCTCATTGGATGACACGTAGGTGAACAGCAAGAGGCCAAAGTTCTCAGTGATGGCACAGATAAAATTGGGGCAGCTGAGCAGCCACTCTAGGAACCTTGTGGAGAAGCGGCCTTTATATATAGAAGTTAAAATAGGCCACTGCCATCAGGAACCTCGGAGCAGAGTGCAGGCCAATGCAGAAGCGCCAGATATGGCACTCTGGGCTCAGGCTTATAGAGGCACTAATGGAAGGTAGATCATTGGGAACCTAAAACAAAAACAAAAAGAGAGTCAGACCATGTATTTGCATTACCTTGCGATGCGTCTCAGTGGAGTCCTGGAAATGGAACAAGGAGGAGATGAAGATGCAGGTAATTACGCCAAGCAGCGGCAGACTGACGGTGCCCACAACACAGGAGGTGAATGATAGCCTGATCAGAGGCTTGTCATGACCCAGGACCTGTGGACCCTGCAGCATACTAGACTGGGACATCAGGGTCATATTTATCACAAAATAAGCATTTTAACTGTGAGAATGTTTAGATATTAACATAATAATTTATAATAATTAAATAGTCTAATTCTGCATTTAATAAATAGGTTTGAGAGTTTGAAATGCTTCCTGCAAAGTCATGCTGCTGTTTTCAGTGACAACAAGGCAGGACTATATTTAGAAACATGGATCAAAATGATCTGAATATGATTCCATACCTCCTATTTGTAGGCTACAGCTAGATCAATAATTTACAGATATAGGTATTGCATTGTCAGAGAAAGAAATGGCTTTTGTTGGCTTGAATTGGACTGTAACTACATACAGTGGCTTGCGAAAGTATTCACCCCCCTTGGCATCTTTCCTATTTTGTTGCCTTACAACCTGGAATTAAAATTGATTTTTGGGGGGGTTTGTATCATTTGATTTACACAACATGCCTAACACTTAGAAGATGCAACATTTTTTGTGTGTGAAACAAACAACAAATAAGACCAAAAAAACAGAAAAATTGAGCGTGTATAACTATTCACCCCCCCCCCCCCCCCCCTCCAAAGTCAATACTTTGTAGAGTCACCTTTTGCAGCAATTACAGCTGCAAGTCTCTTGGGGTATGTCTATATAAGCTTGGCACATCTAGCCACTGGGATTTGTGCCCATTCTTCAAGGCAGAACTGCTCCAGCTCCTTCAAGTTGGATGGGTTCCACTGGTGTACAGCAATCTTTAAGTCATACCACATATTCTCAATTGGATTGAGGTCTAGGCTTTGACTAGGCCATTCCAAGACATTTCAATGTTTCCCCTTAAACCACTCAAGTGTTGATTTAGCAGTATGGTTAGGGTCATTGTCCTTCTTGAAGGTGAACCTCCGTCCCAGTCTCAAATCTCTGGAAGACTGAAACAGGTTTCCCTCAACAATTTCCCTGTATTTTGCGCCATCCATCATTCCTTCAATTCTGACCAGTTTCCCAGTCCCTGCCGATGAAAAACATCCCCACAGCATGATGCTGCCACCACCATGCTTCACTGTGGGGATGGCGTTCGCGGGGTGATGAGAGGTGTTGGGTTTGCACCAGACATTGCGTTTTCCTTGATGGCCAAAAAGCTCAATTTTAGTCTCATCTGACCAGAGTACCTTCTTCCATATGTTTGGGGAGTCTCCCACATGGCTTTTGGCGAACACCAAACATGTTTGCTTTTTTTTTCTGGCAACTCATCTGGAAAACCCAGCTCTGTGGAGTGTACGGCTTAAAGTGGTCCTATGGACAGATACTCCAATCTCCGCTGTGGAGCTTTGCAGCTCCTTCAGGGTTATCTTTGGTCTCTTTGTTGCCTCTCTGATTAATGCCCTCCTTGCCTGGTCCGTGAGTTTTGGTGGGCGGCCCTCTCTTGGCAGGTTTGTTGTGGTGCCATATTCTTTTCATTTTTTAATAATGGATTTAATGGTGCTCCGTGGGATGTTAAAAGTTTCTGATATTTTTTTATAACCCAACCCTGATCAGTACTTCTCCACAACTTTGTCCCTGACCTGTTTGGAGAGCTCCTTGGTCTTCATGGTGCCTCTTGCTTGATGGTGCCCCTTGCTTAGTTGTGTTGCAGACTCTGGGGCCTTTCAGAACAGGTGTATATATACTGAGATCATGTGACAGATCATGTGACACTTAGATTGCATACAGGTGGACTTTATTAACTAATTATGTGACTTCTGAAGGTAATTGGTTGCACCAGATCTTATTTAGGGGCTTCATAGCAAAGGGGGTGAATACATATGCACGCACCACTTTTCCGTTATTTTTTTAAAATATTTTTTTTAAACAAGTTATTTTTTTCGTTTCACTTCACCAATTTTGACTATTTATTGTATGTCCATTACTTGAAATCCAAATAAAAATCCATTTAAATTACAGGTTGTAATGCAACAAAATAAGAAAAACGCCAAAGGGGATGAATACTTTTGCAAGGCACTGTACTCCTGTGCATCGTTGCAGATAGGCTACTGACTATGCTCAGATTTATCTTGATAAGTTATTTCACAAGTTTGTAATGTAGTCTCTAATTCAGTAGCATCTGTTTATGCTCTCTTCAGCCCAACATGGACACTGAGCATCATCAACACGATGCAGAATACGCTTTTAACCTGAATCCTCCCCTAGCTGCCATATTATAAATGTATTCAATAATGTTTGAAAAGAAATGCAGTACCAATGGAATGCGAAAAATGTATTGAAGAAATCAGATAAAAATGTATTATGATACCCGGAAGTGAAAGCAAAGTACTGGCTCAGTAGTGAGGGGGTGGGAGTAGCCTATAAAAACAAATCTTGATCATATCAAGAACCAGTCATATTACACGATTTCTCTATACTGAAAAAGTGTCACGATGAAGTGTAAGAAACTGTTTGAATTAATTGATAAACCAACTTTATACCACGGGAGCTGTCTGTGGTGCTTATCTCTCCCATCGCCAAAGACAGCCTGGCAATGCAAGTTGCCTCATGAGACATACTTAATTGGGAAAGACTCAAGTCAATGTTTTTGTTGTTGAGGATTATGGTTTTGGACAACGGATAAGTCCCACGAGTCTCATTTACAATGTAAATTCGATGTAAATTCCAATACTGCTCTGTGCGTCAAGATGAGCCTCCGTCCCGCCTCTAACCCCAGTCATGGCACGCTAACTATCGTTTTGGTCATAGCACAAGAGCAGTCTACCGCTATCCATGCGGGCAAACTTCTTCATTCAAATTATAATTTGGCATATTTTTGGATCGAGATAAATGTAACCTGTAACAGCAAGATGAAACTATGTGGAATTCGAGCTTCACAGAGTTTAATTCTCTGCTTGAATATTATTCCAGGTAGGCTATAGTTTCTCTCTTTCGCTGAACTATGCACAGTTGAAAATGGTAAATTCACAATGTACATATTTAGGAATGTTTATGGCAAGGTTCCCCAACTGGCAGCCGGTGGCCGAATTTGGCACTGGATCGTTTTATTTGGCCTCCCAAGTTTTCTGAGAGAAAGAAAAAGAAAAGTGTTTTTATTTCAGTTTTTAGTTTCATTGTTGGACATAAGAGACTGTAAAAACACCAGGAAATCAGCTCCAAGTGATTTTCATTTAAGAAATCTGTTCCCAAGTATTCCCACGCATAATAAAGAGACACGTGATCGTATACAAACGTCAGCAAGGTTTGAAATTATTATGTTTTAGTCAAATATTATATCTGTTTGGGCTTCTTGTGGTCAATTTGCAATCTACAAATTATTTGTAAGTACAGTATGTTCTGGCCACCTGACCATCCGCTCAAGAAAAAATCGACCCACGGTTGAATCTAGTTGATGATCCCTCGTTTATGGTATGTTAAGTGTTGTGTTATATCTACACACACTTACAGTCCAATTGCAATGAGTGTTCTCATTTTGTTTTTTCATTCAACATCATGCAAGTGGTGAGTTGAATGATTTCAGGACTGCTTTAGAGTAGTATATTGACAGATAGCTTGTTGGATTTGTATTACACATGAAAGAGAGCGACCCGGCTCTACATATTTTACTGGTTTGTGCCTCACTGGCACCGCTCCAGGTCAGACGGGAATAAAGCAGCCCAAGAGTTAACACACACAGGAAGTTTAAATCACACACTGGAGAAGATGAACATGGGTATGAACATGGGTATGTACCACGGGAGGTTGGTGGCACCTTAATTGGGGAGGACGGGTTCGTGGTAATGACTGCAGCGGAATAGGTGGAATGGTTTCAAATACGTCAAACACATGGTTTCCAGGTGTTTGACGCCATTCTATTCGCTCCGTTACGGACATTATTAAGTATGGTTCTGTAAAGGTACAGAAACTGGGAGATAATATACACATGGAATGCAATGACTAGAGCAGGATGAATGTATGCATATCAAATGGGCTACAACAGAGAATTAAAATGGAACAGAACTGTAAAAGCACAATAGGTAAGGACTAAACCCAATAACCACGTATTACATAGGAGTACAATAATAACAACAGCAGATGTGATGTAAACATCTTACCAAATACCATACAATGAGGCTATACAAATGGGTAACATAAATAACAAGCATTACACTAAAGGTAATAATAGCCAATACAAATAACAACTTCAGCATATAACATTATAATAGCTACATAGTGATATACAAAGCCAAGCTAAACAACAAGGACAACTTACTCTGTGTTGATGCATCCCATGCACATATGTCCACCCACACTCACAGACTGGAATAACACCATTCAGGTACGGCAATATTTACTCCCTTGGAGAGTGTGGGTCAGGCTGGCTAGCCAATCAGGACCTGGAGAGACTGCGTGGCTTGAGCGTGCACAGGGGTGAGACACATGACTATTGTCCGATTGGCTGAAGCCATGACCTGGAGGAGATATCGATCTCTCACCTGAGGGGGAGAAAGGGTGAGGATGGGTGAGAGTCAGACAGCGTGGCTCCAGTCAGACATAAACAACCCACACGCTGGAAATTAGTCTCATAGCGCCCTCTGCAGGGGGATTGTGAAACAACACATGTGTTACTGATGTAACTGATCTAAACTACATTATTACTGGCCTCTTAAACTTTAGAGCAGTGGTATTGAACTCTTACCCTACGAAGTCCGGAGCCTGCTGGTTTTCTCTTCTACCTGATAATTAATTGCACCACCTGGTGCGCCAGGTCTAAACCAGTCCCTGATTAGAGGGGAACAATGAAAAAAACTAAGTTGAACTGGCTTCGAGGTCCAGAGTTGAGTTTGAGGGCTCTAGAGTCCTGTCTAAGCCGTTAAGATTTCCCTTCACTGGAACTAAGGGGCCTAGCCCGAACTATGAAAAGCAGCCCCAGACCATTATTCCTCCTCCACCAAACTTTACAGTTGGCACTATGCATTGGGGTAGGTATTGTTCTCCTGGCATCCTCCAAACCCAGATTCATCCATCGGCCTGCCAGATGGTGAAGCATGATTCATCATTCCAGAGAACGAATTTCCACT